TCGGTCTTAAGGGCACATACCACACATGCCTGAAGAATGCTAGAGAAGCTAGTCTTCTCTCTGTAACCTAAGGGTGTCAGGTACATTATTCAGTTTATGCCACCACAAGGCAAAAGGAAAGAGAACTGATTGACAGAGAGGAAAATAGGTTAGAAGTTACTGTCACAGTGGTTGTTTAACTGTGTGAAAGTCAAGCACAATATGTGGCAATGAAGGTATAAATATGAGGTTTAAGACATTCTGAGGAGAGTTAATTAAAGTTATGCAAAATATGGCCTCTAATCCTTTGAATCAAAGGTTTGCTCTTTTCCATGAGGTGTAAAGAAGTATATTAGAATAGATTTTCACACAGGAACATTACTGTTTTATTTCCTGAAACCATAAAAGCTGTTGTCTGGACGACGGCTGCTGATTCACATCTCTGGAACTCAGAGGCAACTCTGAAATGGGAAGTGTGGCTAAAAGAAATTCCTAAACAGAGATGCCAATCTTCCAGCCTTAAGCTGTTTGGTGGGGCAGGCTATGTTAATAGAAATTAGGATCTGAGATTGATGGATCTCTCCGGTTTGGTTATTCCCAACTTATAGTTTAATGAGTCTTACGTTTGTTTTATTGTCAAACCTTTATTTACGTTTCTGTGCACTCCACAGATTTGTGAGGTGTTTTTTTTTTTCAAAAAAAGTCCACACAGAAGTTCATAGGCATTTTCATTCAGGGTTTTCCTTATGCATTATTGTCTGCAGCTGTATTTAATAAGAGACATTTCTCCAAGCATACCCACCACCCAATTTGGTCTTTGATAACCTATAGTTAGATGTTGTATTTTAGGGAGCAACTAGATGGGTATGTTTCTCACTGTTTGTGCTGTTTTTTGTACTGTTCTTTTCAATATTTATACTGTGGGTAACATAATGTTAGCGCTAGTCATGAGCAGATCCAAACTTTTAGCATGAATATACAGCATATTTTGTTCAGCTGGCATAGCTTTTGTTTTTGTTTTTTGGTAGTGTTTCCACTCATGTTGTTGTTTTCTTCTCACGGTTGGCTTGTGTGATGACCTATATTGGTCCATTATTCCGCATGTCCAGATAACATCGGCGAGGATGCACAGAGTAGGGTGTTGTATGGAAATGACCTCTGCCTCGAGGTTAATTCCTGAAGCCTTTTCCATCAGTGGATATAGCCACAAAGCAGTGGAGGTTTGAAGCCAGAGTTTTCCTTCTCCTAGATGGGCTGCCTTCCAGGACTGAACGAGTCCCACCTACGAAAAAAAAGACCTCTGATAATAACTGACAGGAATTTGCATGTTCAAAGAGGTTGAGACAATCTCATACAAAAATTGGAAATAGTCGTGAAAAGAGGAAGTGAGATGCACATGCTTCTTGAATATTATCAAATCAGAACTAAATGGATTTAGTTCTGCTGTATAGAGAGGGCCAATGTGAGAAGACGACTGTCCTAAGGAACTCTTTGTCTTTCTCTATTCTCTACCCTCCTAAGCAGCTCCTTGGCAAATTTACCTCTGGGCACATTACCTCACAGGGAGGGAGATGTGGCCTTGATAAGACTTAAAAGAAACTGTAAACATCCAATGTGCAAGGAGAGATGTAGTCTCCAGATGTAAAGACATAGGTTTCACTCCTTAAAATGTCCCAATTAATTTTCTTAAAGTTTTTTGAAAAATAAATAAAATGCATTTTGGGCTAATAGATTAATTTGCACCCTGCTTTAAGGGCTAGGGAAAAAAAAGAGAAAAGGGCAATATAGGTACAGTATTAAAATCATAATTACATTCATGAAATATATAAAAAACCAATTTCAATAGAAGCCATAATGAAGTTGTCTTACACAGTTAAATGTCAGTGTGCAGGGATGGGGGGGGCTAGAAGGGAGATGCCCCCCCCCAACACTTGATGCAGAGTTTCTTTATTCTACACTCTGGTATTTTACACTGGCTGCAATCATTGTTCACATTCACACAAAATTGCTTAATTATCCTAGGAAGATGCATTGCAAGAGTCTACTAAATTTTTGTAAAAATTTTTTAAAGGTGTCAAGCGTAGGGGTTTGTGCCTGAAGGAGATAATACTGAACCATCACACCTTGGCTCACTGAAGATGTCACCATAAATGTAATCAGCATCTGCTCCGAAAGATCAATATAGGTGATGCTCATACAAGTCAGAAAGTGAGAGAAAATAATGCAAGCAGGAATGCTACTCCAAAACAAAAACTTAAACATATTAAGCTCTATTGGCCTATCAAATACTCATGGAAAAAGGCCAGCTCTTCTTGAGATTAGGCTTATGTCACATGGAAAAAACTATGAAAATTAACAGTGCCAGCTCCAACACAAACCATGGGAGAAATGTCCATCTAGTTGCACCCTCAGAGAATCTGTTTCCAGGTCTAACTAAATGACAAATAGTAATGTATTCAGGAGAAGATGTGGTTGTTGTGTGCCATCCAGTCATCAGTGTCCTTCCGAGAGAGTAATGATGCCTAATTATTTCTAACCATCAGTAAGTTCTGAATGTTTAAAGATCAAACAATAGCAACATAGAGGTTCCTGGGGCTGACTCCATATGTTCCAAACAGAAAGAGCTTCTGAATTAAACACTCCTCTTCCATGCTCTTCTCAGACCACTGATATATGGAGGGGAGGGCAGCAATGGGAACACTAAACTGTGGGCCCCCGTAGCAGAATTGCTCTGGCTGCACAACCCTTAGTCTTTTATATGTACTGTGTATATATATGGTTAAAAAGAACTGGTCTGTCTTTTGAGTTAGTATCTTCTCCCTTCGCCATCGCCCAACTGTCTCGAGTCAGGGTTGTGGAGGATGAGGCTGTCATTTCTTCTTGTATAATTGATATAAATGTTTGGTTGATTTGAAGTAGCTTTAAGGGATCTCCCCATTCTGAGATTAAAAGCTGTTACATTGGTTTTGCATTTGAGAAAGTGAAAATACTGCTGAAAGGCAGTGTTCCAGTCCAAGGTAATAACAATGAAATTGCCTCACATGGTTGACATTTTCAACACGCCCACCCGTGTACCTTATGGCACCTGCTTAAGAACAAATTCTTTCCTGGAAGGGTTTTGAAACATTCCAAGTTTCTGTCTCCTTGTAGTATGAATGCTGCTCTAGGGAAATTACAGTTATTAAAATGAGTGAGTATTCTTTAGGTTCCATTTGCAATACTTATTTTTAAAGCGAGTTCATAATCTCATCTCATGTCACAGGTGCTAGGGTTTCCATAGAACTTCCCTAAATAAAATGTTAGTGCAGTTTTATTCTTCTGTAGCACAGTTGGTGTGCATGGTGATGAGGAGAGGAGAAAAAGAAAGATTCCTGCCTCAAGGAGCCTACAATATGCAATTTTCACACAGAAATAACAAAGAGGAGCAGAAAATAGGAAAATAGTGTGTATTTTTCATACTGCACATTCTATAAATTGAAGGTGTGGTGTTTTTTTTCTATGTATGATGAATCCAAGATAGATTTTTGCTTCTCATCAATTAAAAAGCTATGCTGCGGAAAGCTTGGAAACACTACTTTTTCAGACAAATACTCCCAAAATCTCCAGTCAGAAACATTATATTGGCAGCAAATCTAGAGAGTGGGTTGCCTCATATACTGCCCTTTTACCTGAGCCTGTAGAAGTTGCAGAGGCTGACCTAATATGGTAGGGGACATACAGAGGCTCTGAATTAAACACAATTTCTCCTATGCTCCTTCCAGTTCCCTGTAATGTAGCTGGCAGCACCAATCTTCTAGTGTTTCTGACTACAATGATGTTTTCTGACAAAGAATTATTTCCAAATATCATGGTGCTGAATTGGCTTGCCAATGAGCCAATTTAGTGCTGGATTATGAAGGCTTAAAAAAACACAAGAACCCTTGACATCCTCTTTTGTCTCTTCCTCCATGGGGAAGTAGGAGGAAGCTTTCAATTGCCTAATAACTGGTTAGAACCTGAAGCCGCTTAAAGCAAAGTGATAGCGTAAGCCATCCATTTTGATCCAGTCCTTCAGATTACATATGCTGGAACTGAAGTGGGGGGGGGGAAGGAGCCCCTGCCAGGGAACCAAAAAGGTGCGGGTAATCAGGAATAAGGGACAGGATGGTTCACAATTGCCCGTACGTCATTTGGTCATTGGAGGATGGAGCAAACCAGCCCATTTGCCAAAATGGACCAATCTTTGGGGCACCACATTCTAGTTAAAGTTGCAGACCATGTCGCCTGCTTTATCAAAAGGATCTTACTGTGGAAGCCCCTTATTAACACTGTTCTTAAAAATGAAAACTGTTGAGGCTATTTTAAATGTTTCCTATTTAATTTAATGGCATGGTATCTTCCATTGTTTTCACTTTTTCCTAATCATTTTGGGGAGGCTTTACTCTGAAAAGCTGTATAAAATATAGTTTAAATGAATAAATATGTAAATGAGGAGGTAGACATTATTTGTGGTGAAGTATCTCTGCTTTCCAAATCTGCCACGGAACCCAAGACAGAAATTATCCTTTTCAAGGAAGGTAGGTAGAGATGTACAATTTCCAAAAATTTACACCCCCCCCCCCCGCCGAAAAACAAACAAACCAGGGAATTCTTCTTCTGGAAAAAATGGAAATGTTCAGAAATTTTACATCTGTAAAGGTAGGGGACTAATACCAGATGTGCTGCTCCATTTTTCCCCCTTGGTGGAGGAACTGTGTACTTAACATTACAAAAATGTCCAATATCTGGATGAAGGTTTCTCAGCTGGGGCCAAGATCTTCCTGACTTCTGTGCTTTTGAAAGCAAACACAAGAAGCGAAATGAATTGTATTCAATAATAAATTGGGCCCAGTGTATTTTTAGCACTGACATTTTAGAACTTGATAGTTCACCGTCTCCCAGGGACACTGAAAACTGAAAACTGTTCAGAGGAAAGAACTGTTCCTTCTTTCCTGCTTTGTGTAGACCCTTGGATCATGTATCACTTCCTTCTTGCCTTCCAGGTTAATTGGCACAGCATCCGTAGCCCTCAAGGAACTGGTGGGGACACAGAGTAGATCCCTTCCATACAAGCTTGTTCCTCTGCTTAACGAAAAAGGATTGGATACTGGGGTGAGTGGTTTTCATTTTCTTTTCTTATTTTGTCGACGAAATATTCCAACAACAGAGGAACTGTCTCAGCAACAGTTCTGCAGGGGAAGTTTGCAAAGATGAGGAGGAATGAAAAAAACAACAATGTTATATATTGTGCATTTTGTACAGCTTCTATGACTGAAGTGGTATTTTTAGAAATGGGGAGGGTGGGTATTTGCGTTATCTTCCTTTTGTATATTACAAAATTATTTATCCATAAACTGTTATATACCACTCTTACATTATATGGATTAACTAAAAGAATTTGGGGAGGGAAGTCCAATAGCCCCACACCCACCCCTCATCTGGCAAAAAGCCCTTTTCTAAGGCAGTAGTTCCCAACCTTGGGTAACCTAGCTGCAATTTCTAGAAGCCCTCACCACCGGCTATGCTGGCTGAAGTTCACCTAGCTGGCCTTGGAGTGCAATTTCTAGAAGCCCTCACCACCGGCTATGCTGGCCAAGGTTTCTGAGAGCTGCAGTCCAAGAACACTGGGGTTACCCAAGGCTAAGAACCAACTGGTCTAAAGCAAATGGTCCTGTGTGTATTGTGGCTCTCTACATACATTAGAATGCTGGAAAATCAAGTTTCAGAACTGAGTGGCAAGCCTCCACACCTCCAGGAAACTCTTGACTTTCATATGAGGAAGGCTGAGGCAACACAAGAGGGGAAAGGGCTTGCAAGTTAACCCTTATATAGAATGCCTGGAGAGAGCACCACAGTAGTGTACAACAAAAAGGATTACATGCATATAAAAATTTGAATCCTTCTATCAATCAGCCTGTTAATCTATCAATTTATCATGTACCTAATCTATCTCAATGTTTGCTTTGCACAGCCCCCTGCTATGAAACTTTAACACTGGACTTCTCATCCAGCATCACTGCTTCTTTTCAGTGGCAAGGAACTGCAGTGGCACCTCCTCTTCCCTTCTGGTTGCAAAGTATTTGCAGTCCATGTGCCAAGTGTATACATTAACCTGTCACCAGTGCTTATTTATTCATTTTGTTTCAGGCAGCCTAGGGTTGTCATCAGTCTGCAGTAATGGCACTGGCAAGGATCCAAAGAGGCCTCTGTGTAGGCCAAACTATTACCATGGATACTTGTGCTTTGCATGGTTTATTTTTTTCCTTCTGGCCTTCATGCTGCATGATGTGCTTCTTTTGAGGGATTCTCAACTTGTTGAGCAAGAGAGAGGGGAGAGCGTTTCAGAGACTTGAAGGTTTTAACTTGAAGGAATGGCTTGAAATGCCCCCCCTGTCTATACAGAATATTATACCAGGCTCTTTTATTTCTGGCTTATGTTGCCTCTGCACATTATAGGTTTGTTCTCTTTTTGGGGAAGCTTCTTCATATTATATGAGCTTCTGCTTTCCGATAGGAAAAGGTGTCAGACAAGGGTGCATTTTATCCCCTTATCTGTTCAATCTGTACCCAGAACATATCATACAAAAAGCTGCACCGGATTAAGGTGAAGGAGTGAAAATTGATTTCATCATTTAAGATAGGAAGACGACACCATCTTCCTGTCAGAAAGCTGCAATGTCTTGAGACACAATTTACTGAAAATCAAAGAAAAAAGTGCCAAAGCAGGACTGCAGTTGAACATTAAGGAGACCAAAACCATGACTACAGAAGAAGTACACAGTTTTAATGTTAATAATGAAGATATTGAAAGATTGAAAGATTTTGTATACAGTACTTGAGTTAAACCGCCAATCCAAATAGAGGCTGCAGCTAAGAAATCAGAAGAAGAGTTAGTCTTGGAACGGCAGCAATGAAGGATAGTCACTGGAATCCAAGACCAAGATCATCTGCATTACAGTATCTTGTGTTTCTGATCACCATGTATGGGTGTGAAAGCTGGACAAGAAAACAAAAAGCTGACAGGAAAAAATGGATGCGTTTGAATTATGGTGATGGAGGAGAGCTTTGTTGATTCCTTGGACTGCCAGAAAGACAAACAAGTGGGTCCTAGATCAAATTAAGCCTGAATTATCTCTGCAGGCAAAAATGACGAAATTGAGGCTTTTCTACATTGAACCCATCACGAGACTCCCTAGGGGAAGCCACAGGCTTGGATTCATAAGAGCTGTTGAGGACAGGACATTTTGGAGACTTGATGGCATGTAACAACAACTACACATGCATTCATTGTCCACGCTGTATGAGGAGAACAAAAAGTCAGTGATCCCAGCTTAGACATGACACTGATCAAATGGCTGATGACCTCCTAGCTTGTTTAGTAACTCCTGCTGGCCTACAGGGCTGGGGAGCAGGCAGCCAAGCAAGAGCAACCAAGGGGTGTCCTCTGGCCCAGATGCTCATTCACAGCCCTACAGAATTCTCGACCATTCTGGATTAATGTGATAGGCAAACAGGTCCAATATGCAGCAGCTTCTGCTGGTAATAGTTAGCAACCAAATAGCTGTGACATTTATTCTATGAGCCCAGTCACGTTGTGGGTAGTGTTTCTGATTTCTCTTCCTTTCCTGATGTAGGCAACAATTGATTTGGTGGTAGGATATGAACCGCCAGCTGGACCTCCAAACCCTAATGATCCTGGGGGAACTAACATGGAAGGCACTGAAGGTATGCCACCATTTAATGGAACTTCTCTTCTTCCCCTATCCTCTTTTTTACAGGTTCAGGAAGAGATAAGTAGGAATCATTGACTAATGAGACTGTGGGGTGACCATTGTTCAGAATTTGGGCCAGGCCACCTTCGATTTTGAGGCCTGACATTCCAGATACTAGGGTATGTGTGTTGGGGGGGCAGTAGAATGTAGTGGCTTGGCTTGTGGAGGGCCTGGTGCTGTGGCCAGAGCAGCTATCCAAAGGCTATGGCCCTGAAAGGCCACCAAGGTTGGTGGTGAGTGATGGCACCAGACAGGTCTCCTCTTTCATTCCTGCCTCACTTCCACAATAGTGGGGTCAGCAGTAACTAGACTGATGCAACTTGGTCCAAAGGCCTACTGTTACCTCCTGCTTCACTGACCCAGCCTTAGACTAGTGACCAAACTTGTGACCTGCAATGCAGCAACCATTCTTTCTTGCTGTGTGGGGGCAAAGCAGTTGGAGCTTTGGGAAGCCAGCGTATGCAGCAACAGCAGAGGACGAAAAGTGTACTGCCCCATTGCAACAGGAGATCATTGTATGGTACTGTAGGGGAGATAGCCATGAAATGGCAGGCAACTGTTGGACAAAGATGCTCCGGAGAACCTCTCCCAGTTCTAATCTAGAGGAGAAGAACGTAACAAGGGGTGCAAGAAGGAGAAAGAGTGCCACAGGGAAGATGGCCATCTGACAAGAGTGCTACTAATTATGACATATTTGTATATATGAGATTAAATAGTTTATTAAGCTCATACACATAATAGTAAAATGTAAGTTTAACATTATATCCAAAAAAGTCCAGAAATAAATGAAAAGCTAACTGTCAAGCTATTTCATGGTGGACCTTCAGGATTAAACTAGACATGATAAAAAGTGCAAATACAGTGGTGCCTCACAAGATGATTTTAATTCATTCCGCGGAAATCGTTGTCTTGTGAAAAAAATAGTCTTGCGAGGTTCCCTATGCATCGGCCTCAAAAAAAAAAAACCTTGTGAAGCATAGGTCTCAAAAAAAAAAAGGTCTTGCGAAGCACGTTCATAGAAAAAAATGTCTTGCGAGGCACCATGGTGATCACAAAAACCAATCGTCTTGTGGGTTTTTCATCCCGCGAGGCAATCATCTAGAGAGGCACCACTGTATGTTGTTTTAACTCTGAACCCCAACCAATAACACACAGCAAGTTGTGGGGTGCTTAATTTATAAGAAAAACAGCATGCAGATGGAGGGGAATGAAGCACATTCTGTAGCACAAGCTACACCTCAAACACAGCCAAGCTTGGCTCAGCTGTGGGAATGGGTTGTAGAAGATAAGCTAAGGTCAGGAGAAGATGACCTATGCTTTTGCCTGTAAAACTGGATGCATCCATTCTGTTGCTCCTCTCTTTACATACAGTTTGGGGCTTATGAAAACAGGTTTGTCATGTACAAAGTTTGGACCTCACAACTCCTGCCTTGAAGTCACTTTCACCACATGCCTCTGTAAAATCAAAGTCTTGCCTGAAGCTCTATGTTTCAGTTAAGGAAGTCACCACATGCCTCTGTAAAATCAATGTCTTGCCTGAAGCTCTATGTTTCAGTTAATATTACTATTCAAGACACTTTCTATTATGATCTAGGGCCTCTCCCAAATGTTAGCTTTTTATGTCATGTAAACCAATTTGTTAGCTTACAGAAAGCCTGTTGTATAGTCAGGAATTACACTGCTTCAAGTCTTGTTATTAGTAAGAAATATAGTCGGAGGCAAGGATGTAACCTTTCGCCTCAGTTACAAAAACTTGTTCTTCCAGTTCTCATCCAGTAATACCACCTTTTAGCTTTCAATAACGTTGTAAAATGTGAAACAACTAGACTCTTACAGGCTTGGAACATGCTGTCAAATAGCTAAGACTAAACAATGGATCCATTTGATTAATTTCCTCCAGATCAAAATAAGGGTTGTGCTAAATTTGCCCAGTAGTGTGGAAGGTGAATTTTGTTTCAGGTGTTCAGTTAGAGACTGCGCTTTTGTTCCATGTCCTCCACTCCCACAATATAGTAATTTGCTCTTTCCCTCCGCTTGTGGTTTGAAGCAGTATGGTCTAGTTCTAAAATAGGATTGCCTATTTGTTTGCATTGACAATGTCTAAGGCGGCTAGCTGCCTTTCTCCTTAAAAGTAATTGCTTGGTGTGTTTTTGGTTTTTTTTAAAAAGCACATTGATTTGGTTTCCAATTGGTGGAGAACATGAAGTTGGAAGAGGTCTTAGAAAAAAACTATTTAGACAGAAGTTTTGATTGTGTAAGAATGGTCTTCAGTTTTGAAATTTTTAACGCCCAGTGGACAGTCTTCCGAAACATACACAGAATCCTTTTGTTGAGGACATGTGTGCAAATGACAGTACAGTAGGGACTTCCGCCGTTTTGCCATTTGTCCTAAAGTTTTGTAAGTCAGAATTTCTGGGGAAATGTTGCACCAAAACAAGTTTCACACTTTCAATTCCTCTTTAAAGATGCAGTGAGGGTATGGCATTATATGTGTTCTGAAGAAATAGGATCTTGAATTATACAATGCATTATACTGTGAAATCCACACTACCAAAGCTGCATTGTTGGACATATTTACCCAGGAATAGGTCCTGCTGAAATTAGTGCCATTGCCTTTCTAGTAGATAGGTATAGGTTTCATTGTGAAATATATCACATAGAGCCATAGAGTACTGCAATGCTGTGAACAATAATTCTGTGAAGATTCAGGGCTAAATTATACATCAAAGATAACACATCATTAGAGCTGAAATCTAGCTAGTGTTCAGAAAGATAAGATTCATATTGACCTTTGTGTGTGTGAAATCAGACCTGAAGGCAAAGCATGGCTTACCTCTTGAAGAACAAAAAGCAAGCAACGAATTTGCAAATTGGGTGACATAAGGAAAGTGTTGCAGAGTTTTGAATTTTGGTTACATTTCTCTAGCTGTGCAGCAGAAATGCAGGGATTCACTGGAGAATCTTGCATTGTAGAACAAGATGGCACAGTCAACACACTATTAGAAACACAACAGCTCATTCTAATATGAGCTTGCAAAATAACTTGTTTTTATTTTATGAGTCATCATCAGATAAATATGGGCTCCATTTGCATATGTGATCTCTCAGACCTGTAGCTTTGGAGCATTTGCTTCCCTAGAAGGAAAACCTTTGTATGTGCAGGTGTGTGTGTGTGTGTGTGTGTGTGTGTGTGTGTGTGTGTGTGTGTGTGTGTGTGTGTGTGTGTGAGAGAGAGAGAGAGAGAGAGAGAGAGAGAGAGAGGAGAGAGCAGAAATTACGCATTTCCCTTAACATGGGATTTAATTGTGACATATAACATTCCTCTTAACTCTTGATTTGGGTGAGATTTTCTAACACACACAGTGTACTAGATCCTGACATAATTTCTTTGACAGATGGAGAAGAAGGTGGTGGTGATGAAAATGTCCCTGCCAGTGGGGACAGTGTTCTCCCCCAGGGAGGTCTGAGTGGGACACGTGAAGCTCACCTTGCTCGGCGTATTACCAAAGGAAAGAAGAACCAGAGGGTGCTTTCCCACAAACCTCAAGACTTCCAGGTTATCAGATTCTCAGACAATGTGTTATGTACCACAAAATGCTTTAAATTCTGTGCCAGTTTTCAGAACACTCTAAAGATGCAATCCTATGTATACCTAGGAGTAAGCCTCACTGAAAACAGTGGTGCTTACAGCTTGTAAAATGCACAAGATTGTACTGTAAATGTCAGAAGGAAAGCTGAGGCATAATAAACATATTTATTTTTCACTGCAGGAACCTTTAGACCTTTCGGAATCTCTTGTTTAAATACTGGAAGATTCTTTTCCCTGATGTAATGTTTTTGGCTCCCTCTCATACTAACAAAGGAGTGGTAGGAGTAAATCCCAGGACCTATTAATAAAGGCGAGAGATTTTTTTCACAATATTGAGGCCATATTTGAGAAGTTATAATGCTGAAAATTGGAATGTAGTGCATTCCAAATGAGGGGTATATATTTTGTGACCTTCCAGATGTGGTTGGACTACAAGTCCCATCATGCCTCACTGTTATGCTGGGAAGAACTGCTAGGCACTGCATGTTGCAGAGATCTGAATTTCTGGTTAAAATTCTCTAGTTACACAACAGAAGTGCAAAGATTCACAGAGCAGAACAGCTTCAAGTTCCCCAGAGTCCACCCCTTTTTCTCATCAACTGGTACTTACAGCCTCAATAACTCACTCTATTAGTAGAAAGAATAAAAGCATTTCATTTACTTTAAGTGAACAGGTAACAGCAAACTAAACATGTGATGACTTTGCAGCAACAAACCTCAACATACTGATCGACTGCTTCCAACAGACTACGGAAAGAGAAAAAGAAGCAGAGCAGAAAGGCAAGGCTCTCTTTGAATTCAGAGGCAGAGAAGGAACATTTGGTTACTGCAGGATAAATCGGCAGGCACCCCAGCCTAAAAAAGTGTCTCCCAGCCATACCTACTGGAAGCAGTATGCAAGTTTGCAGAAAATTCGAACAGTGCAATCCAACAACATCTGGAGAGCCACAAGCTGCCCACTTTGGCACTAAATATTTCTTATGACCCAGTGCAGGAGTAAAGAATGCATGATTTTCCAGGTGTTGAACTGAACTCCTGTCATTCTCACTCTTGGCTGTGCTGGCTAGGCCTGATGGAAACTGAAAGGCCACATACTTCCTACCCGTGATCTGGTGACACCTCCCCCCCCATCAGTGCATGATGATAGTTTGCATAGATCTCTGTGGCTGCAGGGCTTGCCCCTCTTCCATTCTGTACTGGGAATGTTCCACATGTGGCAAAACAATTTCCTCATTATGCTCCCCTTGATTCAGGTGACAAAAAGTCAGAATTTATTTATGCATTTCTTTGTATGTTCTTTTAAGCTGCTGCAGCCAGATGTTCTTGTGAACTTTGGTAGATAGGGCTTGATCACACGTAAGAGAAGAACTCCAGTTATACTGATTCTTTTCATCTCTCTTTTATACTGATACATTTTTTCAGTGATCACTTGGTGTGTGTGTGTAGGTGGGAGTGTTTACATTGTTTCAAACTGCATCACTACATTCATTTCTATTGGATCCATTATAGCAGGCTACAATGTTCTTTACTAGAGATGGGGTCGTATTCATCCACACGTAAGAGAGGAGCTCCAGTTATACTGATTCTTTTCATCTCTCTTTTATACTGATACATTTTTTCAGTGATCACTTGGTGTGTGTGTGTAGGTGGGAGTGTTTACATTGTTTCAAACTGCATCACTACATTCATTTCTATTGGATCCATTATAGCAGGCTACAATGTTCTTTACTAGAGATGGGGTCGTATTCATATTCATATATGAATATCCACACACAGGTGGCATAAACAAGGGTTCAGCCCCATGGGGCCGGATGGTCCATTCACCAATGGGGAATCCTATTCATATATGAATATCCACACACAGGTGGCATAAACAAGGGTTCAGCCCCATGGGGCCGGATGGTCCATTCACCAATCTGTTGTGGACGTGGATGGTGTGATTCTACCAATGGCTCCGTAGCACACGATCCATTCGCCACTCTTCGACCTTTCAGCGAGGCTTGTTCTCCCGCCTCCTGCCAGGAGTTGTGAGCAGATTGCACACTGCAGAGCCATTGATAGAATCGTGCCATCTGTGTACAGAATCATGCCATCTACGTCTGCGTCAGATCGGTGAGTGGATCGCATCGGATCGGTGAGTGGATCATTAATGCCACCTGTGTGGAAATATTCATATATGAATACCCCCATGTCTACTCTTTAATTTTGTATCGATTCATTTTCTCTACTGTTTCTTGAGGCAATCACGACATACTTTGTCCTTTTTTTTATTTTTTAGTTACCAAAGGTGATGTATGGATACAGTGGTAGGACCGTTCTCTCCTCCTTCCCTTTCCCCTTCTCACTTTTACTCTCCCATTCCCTTTTCCTTATTTCCCTGCATCTCTCTCCCTCTTTGTTCTTGGCTTTCATTTTTCTGTTCCCTTTGCACAGCATTGGAAGGAGGAAGTGGGTTTTAGAATACTTGCAAAGTATTGTAAAGAGCAGAGTTTTAAAAAAAAAGAAAGAAGAGACTTCATACAACACTCCTTTCCAATTCAAAGCAGGAAATGTCCCTTTTTTAGTTGAAGCCCTCTTTCACGTGCAAGGGAAGGCTGTCTCCTTCTGAGCAATGTTCGTGGCAGCAGCGGTAGCTGCTGCTAGCGATTTACTGATATCCCTTTTTTCTTTCTTTTTTTTAGAGGTGGGTTCAAGCGCAGTGGCCATGAAGTGGCCACAGCACTCAAAAACCCAGCCCCTTTGCAAATGAAATAAATTGACAGCAACCATCACACACACTCAAATGATAAGGAATGAAACAATACTGTACATGATTGGTACATTTTAAAATAACGCTCCTGGTTAGGAGGAAATAAACCAATGGCCGGGGCAAATGTATCAACGTTAGCCATGTGTCATGTGAATGGAAAATTTTGAAATGATGCAAATAACAGCCAAAATGGAATAACTGGGGTTCTTCTGGCAGGTGTGATTGAGCCCATGGATAGCTCATTTTAATAGGAAAACGTTTTGGCAATACATATATAATTAAAGCCAGGCAATCAGTGGAAAACATCACTGTTCTAATATCTTTTTTTCTTTTCTTTCCATGGCAGATTCGTGTTAGGGTCATTGAAGGCCGTCAGTTGTCTAGCCAAAATGGAATAACTGGGGTTCTTTTGGCAGGTGTGATTGAGCCCATGGATAGCTCATTTTAATAGGAAAACGTTTTGGCAATACATATATAATTAAAGCCAGGCAATCAGTGGAAAACATCACTGTTCTAATATCTTTTTTTCTTTTCTTTCCATGGCAGATTCGTGTTAGGGTCATTGAAGGCCGTCAGTTGTCTGGAAATAACATAAAGCCAGTTGTAAAAGTACATGTTTGTGGCCAGACGCATAGAACCAGAATTAAAAGAGGAAACAATCCCTTTTTTGATGAGGTAAGTGTAATGCAAGAGGAGAAGGGGACAACCGAGGATGAGATGGCTGGACAGTGTCTGCGAAGCAACCAACATGAATTTGACACAACTCCGGGAGGCAGTGGAAGATAGGAGGGCCTGGCGTGCTCTGGTCCATGGGGTCACGAAGAGTCGGACATGACTAAACGACTAAACGAAACGAAGTGTAATGCACATTTTGTTGTCTGGCTAACTAAAATGCATGTTTTTTAAAAAGTCTAGAAGGAATTTAGAAGCATTTTAATCTTAACAAGAAGATGCTCTGTCTTTAAGAAAAGGATCTAAACAAGTCTCAGTTTAAACCACTGTGTGTGACAGAAGTCTAGGCCCCATCTTTTATAAAAGGCACAAACAGAGGAACTAGCTAAGTTGCAGTTTGCAGCAAGCTTACTTGGAAGTGTGTCATGTTGAAATCAATGGGATTTTCCTCTAATACAACATTCTTAAGTCTGAATACGGAAAGAACAAAAAGAGTGAGAGGAAAACAACCAACAATACTGTTCTATTTGCTTATTTAAAAGTAAACTCTGCTGGTTTCCACGGAAATTACTCCCAGATAAATAAATATAATTAGACTGATAAGAAGATAATTGCTTTTGAATGAAAGTCTCAAGCAAAGCCAAATTGTTTCTGTTGTGATCAGACAAGCAATTCCACATGTTCTGGACAGATGGCCTCCTCTCATTGGTAAATTTTGCTGTCTTCTACTGCCACAAATACTCACTTTTTGCCAGTTTGTGGGCTTTTGGGCAGTCTCTGGCCTGAACAACACACTTCATTAAACAGTATGTAACATCTCTTGTATTTAATCTTGCAGTGTAGGATGAGTATACTATGAAGTAGATAAAGTTTAGACTGTTCATCAATAATTCCCTCCCTAAAAGTACATTTTGTGCAGGGTCACAAAGAGCGGAAAATATTGGGAGATTCAAGTTTATGTTCCCGGCCTGTGTATAGCAGCTTCCATCTATAGTGGGCCCTGTGTGCTTACTTAGGAGTAAGAAAAGAAAACAGATCTCAGCTACATGGTGCATATTTAATGTATTGTTTAAGACAACTGGAACTGTAGGTTTGCTCCTCCCCTCCAATCGAAGCAGACTTAAAGTGGCAGAAGAGAAGGATGAAGCAGCCTACCTCTAGGCTAGGAGTAACTTTTTTTAGTTTTCAATGTTACATGTTACTCTAAAGTACTATAAAGTAGCTTAGACTTTTGTGTTTATGATGATATTTTCTTATGGTTTTATTATACAGTTGTATTTTGTTGTTGTTGTTGCAAATCACTTTGTGGGTAATTGGGCAGGAGAACGTAAAAAGGGAAATTAATAAAGAAAATGGAAAAGCCAATGAGCCTCTGGGATGATGGGGAGGGTCACGTGACAGATAAATGAGAATGACTTCAAAACAGCAGAATACAACATTTCAGTGAAACCGAATTTGCTTTCATGGGGATGGAATTGTAGCTCTCTGCACTGGACCCCTCTTCTTTTTACAGACTTCATATCTAAAAGCTATCTTCCCTTTATTTCGACAGATCTTTTTCTACAATGTTCACATGACACCTTCCGAGCTCTTCGATGAAACAATAAGCATCCGAGTAAGAGAAAACTATTCATGTGCCTTATAGCCATCTCACTGTTGTTGACTGAATGTTATACATTGACCTGTTCTTTCCCCTTTATTATAGGTGTATGACTCTTATTCTCTACGAGCGGATAGCCTAATGGGGGAATTTAAGGTAAGTAGACTTGATGTTCCATCACAGGTTAACTCTGGAGCATTTTTGCTTCTTTGTTTGCCCTAATAGTGACAAGAGTCAGGGAGGAAGACATAGTCATTTGGCCCAGAAGGCAGCTGCACCAATGTTTTCTCATGATGGAAAACAGGATATGTGAATTGAACCCTTTGAGCTTCATTCTGAGGTGCAGTCTATTTTTCTGTCTCACAAACCTTAGAAGCATCAGAATCATGATCATCATTATTAACTCCTAGAATCTCTCAATATGGTATAGTGGATAGAGTATCAGACTATGGCCCTGGTCACATGAAGGAAATGTTCTCTTGTTATCCCCCAGTTTGTTCATTGCTTTTTTTCCTGGTCACACGATGCACAGTCAAGATTGAGACATTTTCCCGGCCAGCAGTGTAACTCGGAACATTTCCCCGTCACCAGGAGTATTGTGTTGTTTTCTACCTTGTTGTACTGGTGCATTTCTTACTGGGATTGCCTGTGTTCACAATCTGCCCAGCTTTTTTACAGAATTAAAGTCAGGAGGGTGGCCACCCATATTAATTTTTTTCCCATGCCAAATACACCAGTACGTTGGCAAAAGTATGTCATGGAGAGAGGAGTACCATTAGATTACTAGCAAGTATTATTTTTTTTCCCTATGGGAAATTGTGCTGTGGGTATGCCAGCGTCACCGTGGGGGTTTGCCAGTACTGCTGCATGGATATCTCAAGTCTATTGTGTGTGATGAATTTCTACAGGAGCAAAAACTGAAACCCCTTCCCAATCAATGTTCCCCCTAATTTTCACTCCCCGTGTGCATGTCCGCCCCTCTGCAACATGAAGTTCTGTTGCAACCAGAATGAAAGGGGCTGGAAATGATAGCTCTAGGTGCATGGGGGAGGAGGGAAATTGTGCAAAGGGGGAGCAGAGTGAAGTGCACTTGCGCATTTCCACACCTTAGAGGGAGACTTATTCCTGATATATCAATGTACTGATAAATATTTTATATATATATAATATTTAAAATATTATATATATATATAAATCAAGGGGCTCAACTGCCCCTTGAAGCAAGAGAGAAAATAAACCGGTACCATGGTGTAGCCGGACATAACGATTCAAATAGGACGAAATAAATTGGTACTGCTAAATGTTCTTGGGATGTTCGTCTGGGATATAAACCACATGACCATGATTCAGTACAATAGAGGTATGGAAAGCAATGGAAGAACAAGAAAACATTTCCCTTGTGTGACCAGGGCCTTGTGTGAATCAGAAGACTTGTTTTGATCTTCTCCTCAGCCAGGAAAACTCAGAGGGAGGGATAAGGTCACAGGTCAAACCTTGAAAACCATATTAAAGGTAAAGGTTCCCCTTGACAATTTTGTCCAGTCTGATTTATGGCAACCATATCAAGGTTGCCATAAATCAGATGCAACTTGACTGGAGATAACAACAACAAAAGAATCTTCAAATAACATGGCCAGATATAGTCCCAAAAAGTAACTTTTAGAACCTCTGCTGTGTTTAGCACCAAAAATCAGGAAAGGAGGTGGGGAGGAGCACACATTCTGATTTGGGTTGTGGGAGCTATCCAAGCTCAGATTGGTCCACGTTTGCATCCGGACTGAGACGCCATTCAGCTGTTCCACTCTGGACAAAATCCCCAGTGCTTATAAAATGACATTTCTCATCTAATTTTAGAGTAAGAATTTTCTTAGCAGTAGTGGCAACCACCATCACCACCACATAATTTGCTTTTGCCAGTCTTGACACCATTTTATTATTCTCAAAATGACAAGAATGTTGCATCACTCTGGGGTGTTTTGGAGAGAAGACAGGGTCATAACATATGAGAAAGACTGTGCATTATTTGATTCTGCCCTTATGCCCTGTTGTACTTGAATACATTTTATTTATTTATTTATCTAGTTAATTTCTACTTTGTCTTTTTCCCCTGCACAAATCACACTCAAGGTGGCTTTTAAAGAAAAATATGAATTGAGACAATCAAAAGAAGCACACAGCAGTAAAGCAAAGCACCAGCATTATTGGGGAAAAAAAATCAATCAGGAGCAAGCTAAAATATATATTATCATAGATTCTCACTAAAAAAAGGCCAACTGGTGCTGAGTCCATTTAAAAGCAGAAGAAAATAAATGGGTATTATTTTGACTGCATATATTTAGCTGTTGGTACAGGATGACCATGGAGACAAGAAACAGGTTCAGCTAGGCGAGTGAAAACAAACAAGTCTATAATGCCAAATGCACTTTATGTTTCTTTGGTTATGATATTTATTGTTGGAGAAATAATATTCTAAATATTTGTTTCAGATCGATATAGGTTATGTCTACGATGAACCTGGTGAGTGTTCTCTGGGCATAATTCTACTTTGTTTTGTGTCCTGGGGAAAGCAAAGAAGTCTCATGACATCATGGTTGTCTAGAAGGCAATTAAGGCTGCAATCTTATATGTACTTATGGAGGAGTGAATAAGTCCCACTGAATTCAATAGATCTGACCTTGAGAAATATATAGGATTATATTGTACTTTAAAAAGGCATTTCGACTCACAGTGTGCAAACAAAGACTATTTACAGATGTTCAGCTGTTGGTGTATACACAACTCTCAAGCTTGATTTAGCATGTGCTCGTGGAGCAGCAGCAGCAGCCATCTTTGGGAATAGGCTGAAACTACTCCTTTGCAATAAATAGATGACAGTGTGTTTGGTGAAGATTAGCTGCAAACAGGCAAAACTCTGTTTGCCCAATTTCCAGTTGTTTTAATCTGGTGTGGGTGAGTGCGCAGACTGTTGCTGTGGGTATGCCACAAGCTGGGCACAATGCCATCTGATGTGAACATCATGCCCTGCTTCCTCCCCCTTTTAAAGTTTTCAAAAAAAGTGGTTTGTGTGTACACTAGGACCACAGTATCTTTGGGGGATCAGTTCTAAATCTGTCCACCCTCTCCCTGTGGATGGCCGGAAATGTGGAAGCAACAAATGCTATACATTGCATGATCTCTGGCTCCTTCTAGTGACCAGTTCTGGTAAATACACCTTGAAAATACATATAAATGTGTGTTTCTGATTTTTTTATTTTATTTAAAATCTTAAGGCAGTGGATAAATGAATCACCAAATACTGAACCCACGGAGAGGGGGGTCCTACTGTATCTTTTGATGTTCAATTTTAGTTACAGGCTAAAAAAATAAAGGAACCACACATCTGCATGTGTGAACACAGGCACAAAGGAGAAAAAAAACAAGACACTACAGAGGAGAGAGGAGCTCATAGGGTGGTTAAGAGAAGAGCAGGGGGTGAATGGGGAAGGACTGGACAGACAACTGGTGTGTGTGTGTTGGGGGGAAGGATAAACCTAGGCTGCCTGATACTGTGGTGTAAAATAAAGGAACAGGCCAACAAGAATGGATTGGGCACCATTTTGAACTGGCATCATGTGCTTCAGTAGCTTTTCATTGTTTCTGGAAAGTGTAGTTTTGACCTTAATCTGTGCTCATATGCTTCATATTCGTTCAAGTTTAGTTCACCAGTTTTTGGGATAACAACTCCCATAATCCCTTACTATTGGCCACACTTATGGGTGTTGTAGTCCCAGAAATCTAGCGTGCCAAAGGTTCTCCACCCTTGCTTTTGTATTCTGAAGTCAGCAGCAGTGGCCCTTCGCCACCAGCATCTTGATGTCATCTATATCTATAAACACCCTCTAAGATCTTACTTGTAAGGAGCAGAATATCTTTTACTTTAATGTCAGTGCGTTTTCTTTTTCTTTCCAGGCCATGCAGTTATGAGGAAATGGCTGCTTCTAAATGACCCTGAAGATGCAAACTCAAGTTCTAAAGGGTACTTGAAAGTCAGCATGTTTGTTCTAGGAACTGGAGATGAGCCACCAGTAAGTTTAGTAAATCTTATTCTCTTCCCTCCCCCCTGCCGCCGCCCACCCCCACATCCACTAAAAAGCAGAAGAGTTAATTCAGAGTTGTGAAAACTTTGGCCCTCCAGATATTGCTGTGACCTAACGCCTATCAGCCTTAGCCAGTAGAGCCAAGGGTCAGGATTGTCCAGGAACATCTGGAGGACAAAGTGTCTTCACCCCTGTTTTAGTTCCTTCCAGTGTCAGTGTCAGGAATTTCTTTTAAGATCAGAACAAACTAGAATGAGTGAAACTCCTTACTGTATGTTTCTTTCCCCCCCAGTTCTGCTTGCTCCGCCTCTTTCCGCCCTTGCCACAGCGCTTCTCTTCCAGGGCCTTCTGCATCGCTGCCTTTCAGAGGTACATCTTTCCTTAACTTTGCTGTTTCCAGTCTTTGGGGTGTAGCTTCTCTTTGCTCACAATACTGCTTTTTCCTGCTGTTATCAGGTGCTTCATTAAGTCACAGAAAAGACTGTGAATGTTGTGGGAATATCCTGGTTTATCCTGTTGCTGTTTTAAAAATACAGTTCTCAGGAACCAACTTCTACTGGGTCCACCTGAAATAATTATTTTTTTTCCCTTCCTCCAGCCGCCCTCCCCAGCACACTGTGTACCCCCGCAGTGTGATCCAAGGACTTGGGGAACTTTCTGAAGTGCTGAGAGTAACAGGTCAGGAGCAGTGTTAACTGGCCAATTCAGCACTTTGAAACATGGAATGATGACCTTTTGTAAAGGGATCGTATCCACTCTTCTCAGAAAATAAGACAGTATGTGCTGTTTAGAAAAATACTGTTGAGAGAGAAGTTGGATATGCAAGGAGCCATGGCTGCCTTTAGAGAATTAAGGCAAGATGATCCCTCTTGGATAGGTAAGAGAAAAGTGACAGAAGGAAGGAAAGGTCAATAGACACCCTAAGAATAGCAATCAAAGGTGAAGGAAGGTCAGCACAGACAGGGTATGAAACCTGAAGTCCTTTGTCTCTGTATTCCTCTCCACGCAAAGACATGCATCTTCCTGAGTGTAAGATGAGTTGTACTCAATAACCTCTAAAGTGGAGTAGGGTTTTTTTGGCAGTGGGGGGGCACTCTGGAGGTCTGCAATAGGACGGAAGGGGAAGAAAGTCAAATTCTGCTGGCATTGGATACTAATGTACATCATATTTTCCTTTTTTTAAAAAAGCCACTATTCTCATATTAAGTGTTTGGCTTTTAAAATATCAGACACTGGAATATATGAAGAATTCAGCTTAAGAGCAAACCTATTTTATTACTGCATGATTATATGCATGGCATATGCTTATAAATAAGATGCTAACATAATCCTAGTTGATGCTGCATTACCTTCTGTTTACAAATTTGAATTCAGTTAAACTTTATTTAACCGAGTTCAACATTATGAATGTATGACTATCCATTCATAATTTTGAACTCAGTTAAATACAGTTTATGAAACAATCTTCACAGTTTGGACCATTGTCACAGAAAGCACTAAACATGGCTTGGAGGCCCTTGCATGCAGTTTGTATCAGGAGTAAAGTGATTCATACAATGGAGGGGGAAAAAAGTTAAATTTACATTCTTGTCAATTCAATTTTTATGTTTACATTGCAAATTGACTAACGGTAAATATCATTTAAATATTCATTTTCTAATACAAAACCATCATATTTGAAGTCCTTTCAGGAAGGTGCTAAACATACGATGATTTACCTTGGTACCTTAATATGTCTACTAAAAATCAGTGAACTAGTGTATACTGTTTTCTTTTTATTTTATTTGTAGCAGAAGTGCTTAACTTGTCATGGGTTAAAAATAGCAATTATTTTGATACACTGAAACCTTGTGGGGAAGAAGGGTTTTTGTTTGTGTGCAGGGATTTTTGTTTTTTTTTTAATGGAGTGTGTGTTTTGTTTTGGTTGTCTTTGCTATGGCCAGAATGATAATACATTCAAATATGTCTCCAATAGGTGGAAAACAGAGAACGTGATAATGAAAACGATGATGTAGAAACGAATCTTTTGTTACCAGCTGGGATAGTACTCCGATGGGTCACATTTGTGCTTAAGATCTACAGAGCTGAAGATATTCCTCAGAGTATATACTTTTTATTGTTTCTGACTTTTGCTTATTATAATTAGAAATGTTTAGAATCGGGCAATCTCAAAATGAAAAAAAATGGAGGAATTGAGAAAAAAGCCAAGTGGGGGCAGCATTTTCTGTGGGCACTGAATGCTGACAGAATGAGGAGAACAAAAATCAGTGAAAACTAAGGAGAGGGAATGGAATATCTGAAGCCGTGAACAGAAACACTCAGCACTGCAACTGTTTGTTGCAGGCCTCGAACATTCATTAGACTGTGTTAAGTTTTACAGTAGAGCGTTCAACTACAATGTTGTAATAGGATCACATACAAACCTTATGTATATACCAGATCTTAATTTACAATCATTCTCTCCCCCCCCTTTCAGTGGATGATGCTTTTGCACAGTCAATCAAGGAAATATTTGGATCAGATGCAGACAAGAAGAACCTTGTGGATCCATTTGTGGAAGTTTGTTTTGCTGGGAAAAAGGTATTCTGTTGTATATAAAAGAACTGCATAATAACCAGCCATATGCAAGTAGCATTCGATTGCACTGCCCATCTGCCATCTGGAAGTGAATACTTCTTCAGCACATGGATTAGTATCTTTGCTGAATTGGAGCAAATATGTGCAAGTCATCAGCTTGATCCATGGATTTTAGCAACTGATCTCATGATGTAGAAAAAGAATGCAGATAAAGCAAGATGGTAACAAGGGCTCAAATGGGAAGCTTAATGGCCTTATCGCTATTACTTGCTTCCATTTACACATACTGTATACATCTTTATCTCTGTTTACCTAGACATACTTGGCAATGTTTAGTGACTTTCAACGAGTACTCTTAATTCTATGGTTTAGAAGAAGTTTCTGTGCTGACCCAGAACCAAGGTCAGTTTCATATGTGAAACTGAATTAATATGATCATGAAAAAGTTCGAGCACTTTTTCTTTTAATTTGTTCTAAATTATTGACCATTGGGCTATGCACTTGTAAAAGCAACAGGTATAAATTACTTTATGACATCAAGGGAATGGTTATAATTAGATGTGATGTTTAAAACACATAGGAGAGCCAGAATCCAATTAAAAAACTACACTTGCATTACTCTGTTGTTATAAATTTCAGCTCTGAACTATCACAAGTTTAGAAATTGGTGTAGACATTTGCGATCATGCACTGACTCAAATGAATGGTGAGCAACAGGAAATGCCCACAGTGGCTTCTTAACTTGTGGCAATGTGCAGCTAGATTTAAGCAGAGGAATTAATCCAATTGTGTTCTCACCAATAGCTTTGAGCTCACACAGTGTCTTCTCCAAACTCCTCCCCCCCACCTAGCCATGGATCAGTATTATCTCTGACTTCAGACAAAGGGTGGTTAGTGTTAAATATGGTTTATCGAAACAAATCAATTACAGGCTGGCATTAATAACAAAGTGTTATTTCAATAAAAGAATTAACACTAATCCCTGTTACTGGTTTATAAATAGCAGCAAAAAAGGGAAGCCCATGTGTCTCATCTCCTTGTGACCATAACATTGGAGGAATGAGAAAGGCTAAAGGCACAGTGTTGAAATGTAATGCAGCTCATGTGTAAACTGGGTCAAATTTTATTTATTTATTTCATGTATTTAAATACCACCTGATTTAGTGACAAGCACCGCTCAGGGTGGTTTACAGTAAAGCAACTATTCAAACACATAATGTACATATAAACAGACAACAAGACCAACTCAGGGTGGTTTACAGTAAAGCAACTGTTCAAACACATACAGTAATGTACATATAAACAGACAACAAGACCAACGATTGGTAATAAATTAAGGCGGAAAGGGGCAGAAATCTAATCTAGTTAAATCCTCAACCTAAAAGATGGGAGGACTGGCGACTCAAATACATTACCACTCAGGAAAGGATGCCCCTAAAAGCTTCTTTAAACTGCAATCCCTTAAGCATCCTATTGAATGTTGGGAAGGAAGGGGTCCTGGCATGGCTCTAACAGGAGCTCATTCCAAAAGGATGGTTTTCATGTAGAGTGAGCCTCGGTTAAGTTACTTGTGCCTGAATAACTTATATAGCTAGATAAAGAGCTGGTGTCTAGGTATATGAATGTGTGTTTGTGTAAGTGAACATTTATAACATCTTGTATTACACAATATTTTTTTTTCTTTTGCAGGTTTGTACAAATATAATTGAAAAAAATGCTAACCCAGAATGGAATCAGCTTGTTAACCTTCAGATCAAGGTTTGTTATTTCTTGTCTCAAAAACGGCTACCCTGTTACATTTTGGTTGAGAAATAGTACTTTGATTAATGACTGCGGTTTTCTTTTTTCTAGTTCCCTTCCATGTGTGAAAAAATAAGGCTGATGGTGTATGACTGGTGAGTCCTGCCTTGTTGTGTATACAGTCACACACAAAACAACAATTATGATGCTGAGAAAAAGTGTTTTGACATAAAGTGCCAACATATGTTCATTACTTGCATTGCACAAGCAGCCACAGAACTAATTAAATGCTCTTTACAGAGTGTTGTTTGGGTTATTTGCAATAATCGTTAGTAATAGTTTGGTGATTTTGTTAATTGCCGTTGTTACAGAGCATGACAAACTCCCATGGGTTCTTTGTACTCATTAGCTACTCTGCTTGAACCATTATACAGATCATTAGAATTGTTTTGTGGCTGATTATGTCCATTAGGCTTACTTCCAGCAGGATTGGTCGGGTAGCAAGCAGGAGAGGGGAACAGAGAATTTTTTCTCTCCTAAAAATTGTTAAAAGATATCCAAACTTTATTTTAACATTCTTTTAAGGAGTACACATCACACCATCTGATGGCCAATAGTGGAACTTCAGTCCTGACATACCTATACAGTATGTAGGTACTAACGCAGTAATTCTCTCTCTCTCTCTCTCTCTCTCTCTCTCTCACACACACACACACACACACACACAAGCAATGGTAAATATATCATTTATACACTCAGTTGTTCATTGTATTTAAATACATTGCATGTTGAAAATAGTTCATGTGCAATGCTACAGATTTGTGGTTAAAAGCAACACGCACTTGTGATTATTTAAGATCAGTATTGATGCACTTAACTGTCACATTAAAAAACAGGGATCGTCTTACAAGAAATGATGTCGTGGGCACTACATATTTATGCCTCTCCAAAATTGCTGCTTCTGGTGGTGAAGTTGAAGGTAAGGTAGCCTCTGCTTAGATCATATTTCTTCAAAGGAGCTCCTAACAAGTGAGTGCGTTAAATACTTCCTCTTGACCTATATGAAGGGACTCTTTCTCCAAAGAAATATGCTGGATTCCCCCCCCCCAGATAGTGCAAGACCTGTTTTTTCAGGGGCATGCGTAGTGTTTTGTTACTGCTCAATACAACTATTTGCATTGCCTCTAACACTCTTATATTTCTACTTGTTTTATTGTTAGCATTGTTGCTTTCAGGGTTATTAAATTGTTATTCAACCAGGAAGGTGGAGACTGGGTTTCTAAATAATAAAAGATAGAATAAATAAATTAGCAATATCCAGAAGTCTTTGTCTCTTTGAAACCTTTCTTCTCTGGGGCTGTTGAGAAAATATATATAATAGCGACTCGATTTGAATGTCCTGTTGCTGTGTTAGATAGGTAGAGCTTGAGAGATATACAATTAGGCCTTTTTATTTCATCTTTAAAATGTTTCCATATTCTACATTTCATAATTAATTTCATTTCTTTATTTATTATCTCTCTTTGTAGCAAGATTTGGTTTATAAGATGGAGATGTTCTTGTGGAAAATTCTTTTTTGTTACTCCAAAGGCACATTTATCTTGTGTTGTAATGATTCTAGAGTATGTTATTTGCCTAATAATAATAATAATAAACAGACTAAAAGCTAGGCATGATAGAATTGCAAAAGTAATACACTGGTCTTTATTTACAAATTATAATCTGCCAGTTTATCTGGAAACATCAGATAGAGAAAGGGTCAGAAAATGGCCAAGTTCAGATCTTGTGGGACTTTGGGATTGAAATGGACAGACCTTGAGCAGAATATGTCACATATAACAGTAACAGAAGATAGAAATGTCTGTATAATTGACACTACAATTCCATGGGATGCCAAAGCTGAAGATCAAGAAGTGCAAAAAATTAACAAAAGATACAGACCTGGCAAGAGAAACAACTCGCTTGTGGATGAAACAACAGAAGGGTGTGTGTGAACTATATCTTGTGTCACGATAGCACAGTAGGGTATTGTTGCAACATCCCCTTCCCAAAAAAGAACAGTTGCACTGTGCATTTATTTGGAAAAGTGTTTACTGAAGTGTGGTTTCATTTTTCTTGAAGATCGTTTAGTCTAGGTGACTGGCCTTTAGAAGGATTCTGTGAATTGGCACCCTTGATCTTAAATCCTTGCATTTGCTTGTTATTGGCTGATGTTCTCTTTAATACTTATTACAATGTCCTGCTGTGTGGTGACATAAGAACTGTTGGTACAGTTTCTTCTAAGGACTGCGTTGTTTATAGAGCAGACTTCAGGATTAGGCATTATTCTTAAAGCTAAATTCCTTAGTCAATAAAGATTTGCTTTGAGCAGAAATTTTATATGTTTACTCACTGAGTTCTTTTATATCTCAAGTAATGATTTTTCTTTTTATAATATGTAGAGTTTTCATCTTCGGTTGCTGGGGCTTCACCATATGAAGGTTCATAATCATATCTTGGAATGTAACATGATTCTCTGGCCAAATTAGTTTAAATCCAAATATTAAACTATGTTTTGCTTGAATCTTTGCAGTGTTATGCTATCATTTGTGAAAATTATTCTGAACCTCTCAGGCATGGGGACATGATTGCAAAAAAATTATCTTTGGCTTTGCATGGCTTTCTTTCAGAGATTAACATGTGGATTTCTAATTTTACTACTTATACTGACCTAATTTGCTTAAGAGAAATGCTACTGCATGAGCTGCGGCTGGTGGTTTGAGATCTTAGTGGCTCTTTGGGTTTAATGAGAGGTCAGAAACAGATTTTTATCTATAAGGTTGATAATAGCTTATCTTTAAATAGATTGGCATCAAGTGCTGTGATTTCCTTTCCTCCCAAATAAATAAATTAAAAGAGATTTAATAGAAACAGATGCAATATGTAAGTGAATTGCCTCTGACAGGAATCCATCTTCCCCATACAGCTGCTTTGCTTTCTCCTGTTTTTGAAAATGTGGCACTTATAACCAAGCACAGTTTGAAAAGAAAATCAGTAACTGCTTAGCTAGAATCACATTTCTTTGCTCAGCTGCATTTTAAATTCAACTGTGATTACATTTACAAGGAAATAAGCCCATCCTCATCTATAAGACAAATGTTGTGATAATGCCTTTACATTTCCTAGGACATGCGTATCTGTTAGAATCTATGAGCGACCAATTTTTTTTGTGGAAACCAAATAGTATGTTTTCTTGCCCACTGCAAAGACATGGAGACACAAATATGAGTGAGTCACACTTCTGGGGACTCTGGAAATAAGGAATAATAAAGAGTTGGAAATCTCACTTCTGGATGATGTGCACTCTGTTGTTTAGGGAGCAGTTGCAACTGTGACTTCAGGAGGCTAAGAGTTTTTCTCAGTACTTATTTCCAGTATTTAATTACAACTGATTATTGGAAGATGATAATAGTTGTGTCGAAGAAGGGATTTTGGCAAGTGTTGCTTGCGGTGGAAGCAAGAAATTTATTCTGCTTCATAACCATGAATGATGCAGGATTTATACCCTTCTTTGTATTTGACACATACACCCCGATCTCTTGCAACAGCTAATGGAAAAGCAAGATTTTTAATTACCACAACCATGTGCGGCTGAATTCTAACCATTTGTCTGTAATACCTTTGAGTATAACAGTAGCTTAGTTGTAATACATGCAAATATGTGAAGCTTAAAAAAACTCTTTTTTTGACTACAGTTTCCTAGATTACTCCATCCAGAGCAGTGGGAGAATATTAGGAATCACAGTCCCAAAAAGTAACTTTTCTAAACTGTGTGTGTGTGTGAATGCCACTGACTTCCAGTTTCAGTTCCATTAACATTTGAATAGGGGTCCTGTCTTTAATGTCAAATGAAAGAACAGGTGAGAAGATTACCTGTATAGCCAGAGCTTGCCTGCCCATGTTCATGGCAGAGGTTTCCCAAAGATGAGCTGCCATTCAGCTTTTTAAAAAAGAGATACTTGCACATTCAACCGAAAGAAAATATTTACTGATAATGGCCAACAAAGCTCTGGCTGCAGATGTAGTTTTCTGCTACGGATGCCTGTCCCTTTTTTTGATCTTATGCAGAGATACCAATACTGTATAGAGAGCAGTTTCAGAAGAGGTAGCTATGTACTAGCGGGGGGGGGGGGGATAAAGAAGACAAAAATGTTGTGGCACCTTAAAGACTAATTGTTATACTGTATTTTAATTGTAGATTTTGTGGACATGTTTGAGGGAGTGGACTTGTCCACCAAAGCTCACATTAAAATACAGTATAACAATTAGTCTTTAAGGTGCCACAATGTTTTTATCTTCTTTATTTTTATTTTATTTTTTTCTATCTGATAATATAAAAAAGTATATTTTTCAGCTCTTTTGCAAAAATGGAATTCTGTTGGCATGAATCTGACCAAGCCAGTTTAGTCTATAATACTCTTTTTTTAAAAAAATGTTTTTGCCAAAGCTGAAACTTGTATCTCATATTCATATCTCTGAACCCCATCTTTCTGGATACCACAGTGTGCAAGCTGCTGCATTTACTGAGATGTTATGTAGATTTCTTTATTTAATTTATTTATTTAAAACATTTTTACCTCCCCTTTCTCCTTAAAAAGGACCCAAGGTGGCTTACATAATTTAAAAACTATATTTAAAAGCTCAAAACAATAAGTATCAGACAAATTGTCAATTAAAAATGGCCAACAAAATTAATACCAAAAACACATTCAAAGCAACGTATCAGACAAATTGTCAATTAAAAATAGCCAACAAAATTAATACCAAAACCACATTCAAACCAATAAGCAAGAAATGATGTTATCTTGTACATGTGAATTCTTAAGCAGCAAATGATGTTATCTTGTACATGTGAATTCTCTGTAGACTTTTATGATTGGAGTAGAAATATGAATGGAAGTAGTAACTTGTAAAACATTAAAATTTTGTTTACACTGTGGAATAAAATGTTCTTATTTTGCTAATAACTAACATTTTAACCTTCTAGTTTGCTGCAACTAAATTAATGCTTACATCTTGATAGTTCCTTATAACTCCTGTATGTTCTAACCATAATGTTTGCCTATTAGCAAATACTGGAGAGACAGAAGTGGGCTTTTTACCAACGTTTGGGCCTTGCTACTTGAACCTGTATGGAAGTCCAAGAGAATATACTGGATTCCCAGATCCATATGATGAGCTGAATTCTGGAAAGGTTAGTTTATTGTTTTGAAGGTACCTCAGGCAAAGACACGTTGGAGCAGATGAACAAACCATGGATCTTCCGTGCATAATGTGTGTTCCATAATGCCTGAATGCAGTAGTTTTGTTCCTTCAATAAGAGAGAGAAATTATCCAAGAAAACAAGGATGGTCGAAGTATGGAGATGGAATGTGTCTAGCCACTCTCAGGTTATTAGCAACCTACCCACCCATTTAATTTTTTTGTAAACAAGATACATGGGGGAGATGTGTGCCTTATTTCTCTGGGTTATCAGGGTAGAGACAAGTTAGATAATTTACATTCAGAAATCAAAATAAACAAACTGTGAAGTGCCATGCTTTAGCCAGCTGCTCCTGCTTATAGTAGGAGTGACTGGGTAATATGTACTAGTCTTGGCTATTGTTCTAGTTGAAGACAGCTTATAATTCGTTTGCAGGGAATAATTCTGCTTCATGGCTTCGTGCAATTACTGAAGTGTTTAATTCATCGACAGACCAGTCAAACTGTGTTTTTAAAAGATTTCAGCCTTAAAGGCTCTTTTACATGCAAATTCAATATGTTAGATATAGACAAAGGCTACCGGCTCTAATCGCATGTCTGCATTTTCTTTCTCCGGTGAAGCTCTGATATCTTGTTTCAGCACAAGAACATAAGTGTCCAACCCACACTGATGGCATGCGAAGGAAGGGTGACAGGGTGTTACTGCTAAACTCACACAGTGTGTGACTTTTTAGTCAGCTGCCCTTTGAAGCCTCCCACTTACAAAGGAATATGTAACTTTTTAAAAAGCTTGGGCTGAAGATGTGGTTCTTTAAGTAAAAGGAATATAAAATCTCAAGATAAGGCATTTTTGCCTTCAAGTGTCATTCATGAATGGCATCAGTGTTAAACATTACACACAATTCTTTCTCAAATTCCCAGCGCTTTTGTCCACTTACAATATGCGGAATGCATATTGTTTGATCCCTCTGGAGAGAATGTGGGCATACAGAAGCAGCAGGCTTCCACTCAGATCTCCCTCGCTGGATGGAGAAATCACGCACACAGATGGCTGCTTCTTTCCCAAGCCCAGTTCAAGCAGGCAGGGCTGTGCGTGCGTAGCTCTGTAAAGAAAGCCGAGGTGGCAACAATAAGCTGTTGGGAAGGCAGGACAACAGGCTGAATGCCCTCCTCCCACTCCTCTGCCGTGCCAAACGGTTGATTTGGTGACAGTCTAGTCTTTTTTTAAACAGTTGCATGTGCTAAAATGCTGGAATCCTGAACTCAGGGGCACAAGCGAAAGCATGCTTTGTGAGTTTCAATAGCAAAACTTGGATTGGTGCCTTAGCCATTTCTTCATTTACCAAAGCAGTAAAGAGAGGCATTGTTTTGCAATTGTGAAAAAAGTTACATTTATGGGGGTAATACTGACAGTGCACATGTCGATCACAGTAGAAAAAGTCTTTGTTGTCTTAGCTTGTTTGTGTCTTAGGGAGTTTCCTGTTTGTCTTTTAGGGAGAAGGTGTAGCTTACAGAGGGAGAATCTTGGTCGAACTATCTACGTTGCTTGATAGTGAACCTCTTTCTAAGAAGATTGAGATGATACCCAGTGATGATGTACTAGTGGTTGAAGTAAGTACTGTTTTGTTTCTCAGTGCAAGAGATACACAGCTCTGGAATATTTCAAGCTTTCTCCTGCTGGGAAATAACGTGGCTTTCAAGTTCCACATATACCAATGAACAGGTTTAAATGCAATTCTCATTTTTCCAAGTGTTTAAATAATGTGCAAAACTGCAACTGGTCTGCTGCAATAAAATAGTAAAGAGCATTTTATTATGCACTGTACAGCAATTCTACCTTGACTTTTAGGATAAATCCTCACAAAGCAGTTCACAGTAAAGATGTTGAAAACCAAAGCAGTTGAGCATGCATAAGTACATTAGTCCCAGATTTCAAAACAGATCTTGCTCAGGTCACTGTGAAACTGCATTTGTGTCCTTTAGAAACCAGCTCCCTGTATGATTTCCCCTCTCATTTCCTTGACTTCCAAGGCAGGAATTACATATTTGCAGATAATTCTTAGTAAGCTTTTTACTTCAGCTTATCTGCAACCAGGCATGAAACGGCTGGAAACGCACATCCTGTTTTAATGCAATTCCTCACATTATGGCAAGCTGCGGAGCAGTCCCACCAATGCTGGGGGGCATCCTGACTACTGACAGCATCGGGGTTGGAGCAGCAGCTGAGAGTCCTCACGTCCTCAACGTGCAGTGAAAAAGAAGCCACTGGAACTGAGCTCCCAGGCAAGAACAATGTCGCCAGCTGGCCGGCCAGTGCTGAGGTAGCCAGAAAGCCTTCCAGCACTGGCTGACCAGCAACATTGTTCTGGCCCGAGGCTGGACAGCTCCAGTGGCTATATTTTCACTGCAAGGACTCTGTTGCCCTGACCAAAGCACTGTTACTTTACTTTATTTAGACTTATACCCCGCACCTCTAGACAAAGTCTACTCGTTATTTATCAGGAAGCATCCCAGGACTGGCTGGCTGGAAATGGACACCCTACTGCAGTTTTTAAAAGTGTGGATTGGTGCCATTTTAAAAACCACAGTAGGGCTTCTGCAGTGACAGACATTGCTATAAGTTCAATGAAGGCAGTATGTCATTTTAACTTTTGACTTGTGCAGTGACAGATATTGCTGTAAGTTCAATGTGGCTTTAAGGCAGTGTGTCGTTTTGACTACCTTGAAACAACTCCCCCCCCCTCATCTCAACAAAGTTCATTTAGAAGGTTTGTCATTAGATTAGATAATCCAGCCTTCCTGGCTGACTGGTTCAAGTGTATCAATAGGGGCAGATTCAAAAAGTGTGCCCACATGTACAGCCAAAACATTGTGGTTGCTCCAATACCCTAAAAACCCAACATGTAAACATTGGTTGGCTGAAAATGACACCGCGCTAAAGAGGCAGACAAATTTATTGTGGCATAAGCTTTATTAGACTAGAGTCCACTTTATCTAATGTCTGGAGTGTTCCCCTCATTTAGCAGGTATATAATACTGTGGCAGCCTTCTCCAACCTGTTGCCTTCCAGAATTTTGGAACTATATTTTCCATGCACACTAGGTGCAAGATGTTGAGGAGGCATAGTAATTGGTTAGGCATCATGGGTATTGTAATCCAAAGTGTCCAGAGGCAACAAGTTGTAGAAGCCCATAGTAGTAGTAGGTAGGAGTGTATGTGTGTGTGATTGCATCTGTGTTTGTCTCTTTAGCTGCCATCTGTCTTGGTGTTTACTATGGCTTCGCTGCTACATAACTTTTCAAAAAAAGACTCCTTGGGACAATCTGATGATATTGATACTTTAGTTTATAGTCTGCAATTGCTCTTGGGAAGAAATCCTATTACAACCAGTGAGTTTGCTTCTAGAGAAAACATGGCTTTGCTTGGTCTCTTGGAGCACCAAAGCAGAGTGGAATGCCTATTGATTTTCGCCCCAGTTATAATAATGGGACAAATATCCAATCAGCTTCACATTTCTACACCAGCTAAATGTCCCAGCAGCCATATCTTTCCCTTGTGAATTGTGGACCATGAAAATCTGTATGTTTTAACCACGTCAGATGGTTCAGAAGAAGCCTTGAGAAGCCACTTGGAAAAGTGCCATTGTGCTCATTTAGAGCTGTAACTGTGATGGCAGAAAGAAATGGTGACTCTCCTACCTTTGCCAATTAACTTGTGCATTTCTTTTTTGAATTGCTAGAGGCAGAAGGCTATTCTTAATGTACTTATTAATTAACAAAGCTCAGGCCAATAACTTTTTCAGACTACAATGTTCAAAATACCCCAGCCAACATGCTGGGTAAAGAATTTGGAGAGTTGTAGTCCAAAAATGCAAATTTTCTGAGCTTTGGTTATTAGACGTTTAATCGTAAATGCATATATACATTGGCCAGTCAATCCTGTGACTCTTCCGTGTTGTCATCTGCCATAGTCATGCTGGTGGTGATGATTTTATGGCTTTGATTAATTCCATGCCTTGTTCTGTGGCTCTTCATGTCTTCCTAGGGCAAAGGGGATACCTGGCAGTGTAGGTTGGTAGGAAGCTTTTAATTTTCCAAAACAGCCGTGGCACACCCAATTGCTGCTAATGCCACTAGACACCAGCAGCTTAACTTACACCAACAGGGTTCTGGCTATTTTATCTTAGGTGGGTTTTTATTCTACAAATGTCAGTATTAATTAAAGCACCGTATCTGTTTGAACCTACAGAAATATCAGCGGAGAAGACAATACAGCCTTTGTACTGTGTTTCATTCTGCCACAATGTTGCAAGATATTGGGGAGGCAATTCAGTTTGAAGTTAGCATCGGAAATTACGGCAATAAATTTGATACCACGTGTAAACCACTGGCATCAACAACTCTGTACAGCTGTGCTGTATTTGATGGTATGTACTAGTTCTGTATAAAATTAGCAATAAAGATATCTTGGGATAGGTGTCTATGTGGGAGGACAAATTTCTATTTTATTCCTGTTTGGGAAGCCATAGAATTAAAATGAGTGAAGAAAGAGCTGCCATAAGCTCTTTTGTTGTATTCAAAAAACAAGGAAGACAAAACCGTTTCAGAACTTCATTAACAGAGCATTGTGTGCATCCTTCAAGGCTCTTTTTAGTTAGCCCGGCCACAGAATATGAATGAGACCATTAGAATTCAAGATGATATGCCGTGGCTGAATGGGCAGCTTGATATATCAATAGTAATGATACATTGTAATTGTATTAATTGGATAGAACACTAGCATTTACTTTTTCTAAAGCTTTAGTACTGATCAAATAAAATATACATATGATGCCGCTTGCTCTGTTAACTGGGGGAAAATAATTGAGGGTCATCCCAGACAATCAATTTGTAACACAACGGATGCCCAGTTTTGGCCTGTTTGTTATATAACATGCTTCATCCGAAAGGGTGGGGTGGGGGCAAAGCATGACCTCTGGACTACATTTGACTCCACAGAGTCCCTATGGCAGAATCAGTCCTCCGGCATCCTTCCAATCCCCAAAACATCTTGAACCATGAAATAAAATAATTTTTAATGTTATCATCACCCTTCTACAGTTTTTTTATTTTGGGGGGAAGGGGGGGCTCCAGACGTTCAGAAGTTTTTCTTTCCTCTCTCAAAGGGAGATATCGACCTAGACAGACAGCTGTGCTGTCTTCAACTCTTCAAGAGGCTGAGAACCTACTCCAGAGAGTTTCCTAAACCTCAAGAGCAGGTTTTTACGATGTATTGGGGGTTCTACAGAAGAGACAGAGATTTGCTGTTGGAAGCCAATTCAGCCAGTGGCAACAGCCCACTGGATCCACCCCAATCTCAAACAAAAAGAACTTCTTTTGAAGCCAGTAGACCCACAGTAATTTATAGGACTGTTCCAATGAAAACTCATCCGCCAAAATAGCTTTTATTGGGTGAAATCTAGTTGGGACTGACCACTAGATAGACTAAAGGGGGTGACTCGGATTGTGGATGTTGTTAAAAGAGCAGCAAGTTATGTTATTCAACTGAATTTTAAGTTTTATTTTTGGGTGTATAAATTTGGATCTTCTGTCTGAGGCAACAAAATTCCCCAGCATCACTGATCGAAGTATCTTGAATAAACCTATTGAAATCCAAGATGAGTATGGGTCTATTGGTAGGAAGACATATCTAGAGCCTGGAAAGCTACTTCAACAGCCATGACTATAATATCATGATGAAGCCATCCATAAGTGACTGCAAGTAGGAGGATGCCTGAAGAACTATGTTTCTTAATAGTCACTTTCCAAGTTCTAGCCATATTGACCCCAAAATCTGTTGACACATTTATGTTTCACCACAGGGAACTATTATTACTATCTGCCTTGGGCGAATACAAAACCGGTGGTGACATTGATTTCGTATTGGGAGGATATAAGTCATAGGCTTGACCCTCTAAACCTTCTCTTGGGCATAGTAGAAAAACTGGTAAGTTGTCTATGATTGTTTCTCACATAAAGCATATGCACGAATGTAGTGGGTATAGGTGTGATCAGATGGTGCTTGGCCCACTTTGGAATAGGCTGTTTTCCCAATGATCACATGATATACATGCAGTTGTGAAACAGCCCATCCTTTAGCCATGCCTACCTACACCTTTTAAGGTCCCTGTCACAGACTACTGTTGTTGTTGTTGTTGTTTTAAGTGCAGGTAGGATTGCTCCATTCTTGGTTTGGTTCCAGGTGCCAAAATAACTTGATTTGGCCCTTAGCACTATGCATCTTGCCCATGATGGTGGTGATATTTGCAGTATATCCCCAGGTAGCAAATTCTCATCAGCTGGCTCTCATAGCCCAATTTGATTTCAGTTTTGCACTCATCCTCCTGTGTTTCAGGTGACATATTTTCAGCCACCTCCCTCTCTCCTTCCCCTCAGTCTCCAAAGGTTTATCTTCTGAGGGCAAAGTTTTGCAGAGTCATGGCATATGTGACTGCAGGATCTGCATGGTGTATTTTGAGAGAGAAAAGTGTATGTGTCTGTGGGGCGGTCCTCACCTCAGTGCATGGCAGTAATTATCTGTAAGGACAAGGAGCAAACCATAATGCCAAATGAATCTGAATAACTCATGTGAGCCTGTATGATTTTTCCTCCCAATTTGTAGCAAGCAAACATAGCTGCTTTAAAATCAGGGATACAGGCAAAGCAGCCGGAAAACCAGTTGGCTGAGATATGGCTGAAGCTAATTGATGAACTAATGGAGGATGTAAGGTAAGTTGCTCCAGATCTTTCCTCTTTGGAACTGCCAAAAATGTAATATTCCTCTTGGCAGAGACTGAGCCAGCAATGCCTTCTGCTTGCCAGGTGTCCCAGATGCTCAATTATTACATATTTCAATATTCCTCTTGGCAGAGACTGAGCCAGCAATGCCTTCTGCTTGCCAGGTGTCCCAGATGCTCAAGGAGAGAGTGATTGCTCTGGATCCTACTGGCAGAGGCCTCTGGCTAGTATTTTGCAGCCCACTTGTTGTTGTTTGTTGTTTAATTATTAAGTCATGTCCGACTCTTCGTGACCAAATGGACCAGAGCACGCCAGGCCCTCCTGTCTTCCACTGTCTCCTGGAGTTTGGTCAAATTCATGTTGGTAGCTTCAGTGACACCGTCCATCTTGTCCTTTTTCATCCCCTTCTCCTCTTGCCTTCACACTTTCCCAACATCAGGGGCTTTTCCAGGGAGTCTTCTCTTCTCATGAGGTGGCCAAAGCATTGAAGCCTCAGCTTTACTATCTGTCCTTCCAGTGAGCACTCAGGGTTGATTTCCTTTAGAATGGATAGGTTTGTTCTCCTTGCAGTCCAGGGGACTCTCAAGAGCCTCCTCCAGCACCACAATTCAAAAGCATCAATTCTTTGGCGGTCAGCCTTCTTTATGGTCCAGCTCTCACTTCCATACATCACTACAGGAAAAACCATAGCTTTGACTATGTGGACCTTTGTCGGCAAGGTGATGTCTCTGCTTTTTAAGATGCTGTCTAGGTTTGTCATTGCTTTCCTCCCAAGAAGGACGCATCTTTTAATTTTGTCGATGCTGTCCCCATCTGCAGTGATCATGGAGCCGAAGAAAGTGAAATCTCTCACTGCCTCCATATCTTCCCCTTCTCTTTGCCAGGAGATGATGGGACCAGTGGCCATGATCTAAGACCACTGCTTGCAGTTTTATTGAGACCTGGTTGCCTACATAGTTCTTTTTGCAATTAGTATTTTAATACTTAGGTCTCCTGACACTGTTTTTCCCCTTCCAGCAATGAACTCCCTCGCCTAGAAGGCAAGCACAATGTCACCCTTCTAGACACACAGATCCGCAAACTGCGGCTTAAATCGCTCTACCAAATCCAGGAGGCAGCGGCAAGGATGAGGAATGAAGCAACAGATGTGAGGGCTGCCCTGACAGAAATTGAAGACTGGCTGCATAAATTAATACAACTATCTGAAGAGGTTTGTCCTCTCTGTTGGTCTGTCTGTATGTGTACATATATGCCAGGTGTATGTGGTGTGCATGGTGTGTGTTTTTACATATACATATATTTCCAGTATGTGTGTGAGTGTGTGTGTAGCTGACCAGTTAGCTCAGTGAATTAGGGTTGCAAGTTCAGTTCCCCACTGTGCATCCTCAAAAAGCCAGCCCGTATGGCCATGGACAAGCTGCACAGTTCCAGAGTGACACAACAACAAGGGGATGATAAAGACGTCTGAACACTCCCTCCAAGGACACCTTGAAGAGGGTTGTCTTGAGCCAGAACTGACTTGACAGCTCACAATAATGTGTGTGTATATACAGATATGTATATACATAGTGCATATATAGTGTTCGTGCAAAGACTATACAATAATTTTGGAGAACTGTGTAAAACTAAGTGTATTTTTAAATTTTTAAAAAAATGTCTTTTTAAATTAAAAAATGTTTTAAAATGTTTTTTAAAATTTTAAATGTTTTGAAGATCTGTGGAAGACTAAATAATTTTTACATGTTTTTAAACTGTTTTTAATCTTAAGATATGCTAAACTGTTTTTAATATGATATTTATACAGTATTGTCCCACTGTTGTTTGTTTTATAGTTGTTGTGTGCTGCCTTGGGTCCCTTACGGGGAGAAAGGTGCCATAGAAATGAAATGAAAGTGTACATGCGCAAGGGTAGGGCTGCATAGCCTGCAAGCCACATGCACCCTCATGCCTTCCCAACAACACTGCCAGTTTCTTCCCTCTCTGGCCATGCTAGCTGAGCCTGGTACGCCTGGCCTGACTGCTGTTGGTAAAATGGTCCCAAACCCCAGGGAATGTTTGGCTGGTGGATGAACCGCTCCTGGCTCCTGTGACCGTTGCCCCAAGCAGCCCTGGTCAGCAGGAGATTTTGGATCTGTGACTCCACTGCTCTCTGGTTCCCTCTTCTCATCATTGCCTCATCGTTTTGACGGCCACAAAACACTGCTCAGAGATGGGATGAAGCCTGAGCGAATGCAGCTGATTGGGCAGGAGTAGATGTTGCAAGTGCAGTCTGGGAAGAAGAGGAAAATCTTAAGGGCTTGAGAGACGGTGGGGACAAATAAATAAATCTGGAGAAAAGGCATACTGGACTGGGGGGGGGGGGGCTAGACATTTATGTACACATATTCAGTGCCCAGGCTCCTTTTGGGAGCCCTATATGTCCTGAACAGTCTTCGAGGCCTTTCTCTGAGTTACCTAGCATCACAAATAATTAAATCTGGCGAAAAGGCATACTAGACTGAGGGGGAGCTAGATATGTGTACACATATTCAGTGCCCAGGCCCCTTTTGGGAGCCCTATATGTCCTGAAGAGTCTTCGAGGCCTTTCTCTGAGTTACCTAGCATTTGCGGTACAGTGGGAAGAGAAGGAACACCTTTTGGCAGTGGTACCCCCAAGTAGAATTCCCCTTCTAAGACGTCTATGAATAGCATGGGATTATAACAAGTGATGTTCTCTTTACAAAACTTGTTTTCCTTATCCTCTCCCTGACTGAAAACAACAGCCACAAAACAGCATGCCTGACGTGATTATTTGGATGATCCGGGGGGAGAAGAGGCTGGCCTATGCCCGCATTCCTGCTCACGAGGTCTTATATTCTACCTCATGTCCTGGAGGATCTGGAAAATATTGCGGAAAGACCCGGACTGTCTTTTTAAAGGTAATTGGAAGCCAGAGGTTGGAAGTCACAAGTCACAACCAATGTAGTTACCTGTAGGAGGCCACTTTTTGTGCTACGCAAGGAGAACAACATTACATTGCAGAAATAATGAAAAAGAAGGAACAAAACCACTTTATTTGCATAGCTGATAACATTGTCTATTTACCTTAAATGCTATGTAAAAGTATCTTACTTTAAAATGGCATTTTAAGAAGATGGATTTTAATGGCACTTAAAATGGCATTTTAAGAAGATGGATTTTAATGAAGACAATCTTCCATGGTCACATGGCCAGTGCAACTTAGACACGGAACGCTGTTACCTTCCCACCGAAGTGGTCCCTATTTATCTACTTGCATTTGCATGCTTTCGAACCGCTAGGTTGGCAGGAGCTGGGACAAGCGACGGGAGTTCCCTCCGTTGCGTGGATTCGATCTTACGACTGCTTGGTCTTCTGACCCTGCAGCACAGGCTTCTGCGGTTTAGCCTGCAGCTACACCGATGACATTGTCTATTTACCTTAAATGCTATGTAAAAGTATCTTTGACACATTACTTTAAAATGGTATTTTAAGAAGATGGATTTTAATGGCACTTAAAATGGCATTTTAAGAAGATGGATTTTAATGACATTTTAGAAGAACGTTTGCAGGAATTTTCCACATTTTATGCCATTGTCGTCTCAATTCTAAGATTTTCCTTTAACAAAAACCGTAGCGAAAATTAATAGCAAAAGCAAACACGCAATTGATGCTGCAAGTTACATTTAAAGAAGGATGATAAATGACCTCCCAAGTGCTCTAATAAGTAACAGAAACAAAGCACATTGTAAAAGCTGCTTACTGAGTTCTGCCTAAGTCTGACTGGATGAATTTTTGCTGAACATGCAGGGCTTGAATCTTTGCTCTGGCCTATGGCTTGGAAGTTGGTTGTCTTTAGTGCAAGTCTGGTACAGAAAATAATGCAACTTATCAAGAACAATTTTGTAAAGAGGGGATATAACATTTAGATAATCTGTCTAAGCTACGAATGTGTGGCATTTCATTGCTTTCTTATGACTATTAATCCCCCCAAGCTATTATTCCCCAAGCCAAACTGCCTTTGGGAAACAGATGAAATTAACAAGTACAGGCTTCCATCATCCTCAAGGATCCGTGAAAGATGCCACCTACTTGTGTCTCTGTAAGGTTGTCTGATTTTGTCTGCTAATCAGGGTCAGGCTTGGTTAGTATTTTTATCGGGTGTGGGTGGGAGACTACCAGAGAATTCTAGAAGTGATATGAAAGAGTCCTGCCTGAAATCCTGATTGGCAGCTGTTGATCAGAGCTGACGATATTGAACAAGAAGCAACAAGGGTCTGATTCAGGACAGGATAGTTTTTCTCAGCATATGACTACTTGGGCCACCATTTTTTTTCTGCTGATAACTGCTTTGGGCCTCTGGTTGTCACAAGATTGAACAAGAAACAACAAGGGTCCGATTCAGTACAAGGTACTTTTCTCAGTGTATGACTATTTGGGCCACCTTTTTTCTGCCAATAACCTCTGGTTGGGAGCAATGCAGCATATAAATGAAACTACTACTACTACTACTACTACTACTACTACTACTACTACTACTACTACTACTACTAATACTAATACTAATACTAATACTAATAATACTAATACTACTAATACTACTAATACTACTACTAATACTACTACTAATACTACTACTAATACTACTACTAATACTAATACCAATACTACTACTACTACTACTACTACTACTACTACTACTACTACTACTACTACTAATACTAATACTAATACTAATACTACTGCTACTGCTACTACTACTACTACTACTACTACTACTACTAATAATAATAATAATAATAATAATAATAATAATAATAATAACCATTGTATAGCAGCACAGGAAGCAGGAGGCTTTCAGCCCTCATTTGTCAGCTGGAGGCAAAGGTGGAGCGGAGTGTGGGTGAGGCTGCTATTGCACTGTGCAAGGACATGACTGCTGAATGTGGAGAGGTGAGGGTCTCACACTGAAACAAATGCTCGTGGCTGTTAGTATCAGGGCCATTCCTTCTCTCACCAAAAGTACGCCTGCCTAGGACTGGCAGAGGTGCTAATCACAGTTACTGGCACCTTCTAGGACCAGAGACTAAATGCAGGAAGACACACACCCCTGCCCCATGACAGGTCCACTGCTGCTGCTTTCGCCTCATTGGCTACCAATCACTCAAGGCTTTCTATTTTGGCTTTCAGCTCTTCTCAACCGGACCCCTTGCACACGGGATGTGTTCTCAGAGAAGTGCCAATTAGAAAGACAAGGGCTGATGAGAGTGTCATTGCCCTACCTGTTTATCATCTTTACTCTTTTTGTGAGCCAGGGCTGGGGAATGCGTGGCCTTCTAGACACTGTTGGATTCCAGCTCCCATCATCCCTGATCCTTGGCCATGCTAGGTGGGGCTTATAGGAACTGAAGTCCAACAACTTCTGAAGAGCAGCAGTTTGCCCATGGGTCTTCCCCTTTAAATGAAACATCTGAGCTGTCAGTAGTAGGAGATGATATTCAACCCTTTTATAACAAGGAAACCTTAGGAATGATTAGAATTGCAAAGTTCTCAGAACTTGATAGTGGCAAACACATTCTTGGGTGAGGGTTGGGAACAGAAAAAACAGGAAAGGAGTTAGCAGTCTGGTAGTGCTTGTTTCCTGCACCTTGGTAAATCAAGGACAATGTTCTACATCAAAATTGTTTCTGGGTACTGTTGAACTCAGAAAATCCCTGCTTTTTGCTACTGTTTTGAAGTTCCCTTTAACATTAACATGCATAGGCAAGCACATACAGTATGTGTCAATCAGCTGCCAATGAAGGGCAAAACATAAGCCTCTCTATTGTGCATATTCTGTCACAGTGGAAGTCAACTGGTTTTTTTTCCTGTTTCTTTTCTCAATTGTTTTAGTACCCAATGGACAAAAACAATGGCATCAAGATCCCTGTGCAGTTGCGAGTTAACGTTTGGCTTGGCTTGAGTGCAGTTGAAAAGAAGTTCAATAGCTTTGCAGAAGGAACATTCAGTGTCTTTGCTGAAATGGTAGGTGCACTAATCACTACTCTAGAACACTTGGAAGCTGAGCTGTGCAGGAATGTTTCGTCTGTATTTTGAAGTAAACCAACATAACTCACACTTCTCCGACTATTATGCCTAGGGGAACACATTTATACTTTGGATTTTGCAGGTCTCTGAATTCTGTGAGTGGTTCTTTGATCAAAGTTTGCACTAAGAATGTGAATATTGAGGAAAAATACATCGCCAATGTGTGTGTCTGTGTGTGTGTGTGTGTGTGTGTGTGTGTGTGTGTTAGGGAAAGTTCTCTGGATTTTAATTTTTTTAAATAGTTGTTTTTATGTTATGATTAGTCCACTCGTTTTAGTACAGTAATCCTTTGCATGTTTTCATCAGTACTTGTTTTTAACTCTATCCATCTTAACACGGTTGGGTCCCAGTTGTGGAAGAAAGGCAGGGTATAAATACACACATACACTGCATTTGAAAATAAGCACAAACGTTCATGAAGTTGTTTGGTTTTTTAAAAAATAATTTCAGAATGATTTGGAAGTTGCTCATTCCTGACTTAGGATCAAATACATACGGATTTGACACAGACAAGATACACAGTGGTTTATACTAAAATTTGTACTAAACTTTGGAGGCCAGGTTCATTTATTTTCTTTTTCTTCCAAGCATTATGAGGGTGTGGTCTACTATGAAGTTCTCCTATAATTAAAAACTCTCAACCACTACACCACACTGGCTGTAAGTGCCTCCTTACACAGCACAGTGTTAAGAAGCAGTCCTATTCAAAGCATACATTGGCAGACAGGAGCCAAAGTATGCTTTGAATATGGAAGGTTCCAGATTCAGCCTTGCTAGTACTGGTTAGAAAAGGATGATGTATCAGGAAATGAAAATGTACCTGACCGACTGAGAGAGTGGCTACCGGTCAGATTAGGATGCTGATGACCCCATAGACTGACTGTGGGTCAAGATAAACATTCGGTCATCGTCCGTTGTCGTTTAGTTGTGTCCGACTCTTCGTGACCCCATGGACCAGAGCACGCCAGGCCCTCCTGTCTTCCACTGCCTCCCAGAGTTGGGTCAAATTCATGTTGGTAGCTTCAATTACACTGTCCATCCATCTCGTCCTCTGTCGTCCCATTCTCCTCTTGCCTTCACACTTTCCCAACATCAGGGTCTTTTCCAGGGAGTCTTCTCTTCTCATGAGATGGCCAAAATATTGGAGCCTCAGCTTCAGGATCTGTCCTTCCAGTGAGCACTCAGGGTTGATTTCCTTTAGAATTGATAGGTTTGTTCTCCTTGCAGTCCAGGAGATAAACATAAAGATAAACATTAGGGGGAATTTATTAAATGTTTTGAATGTTTTATGTTAATGTATTTTATGCTTTGATGGTATTATTTATTCTCATTTTATTATTTTATTCTTTGTTTTGTTGGTTCTATTTTAGTCATGTGTTTCTATGTATTGTAAACCATCCAGAGTAAATGAATGAATGAATGAATGAATATAACAGTTATTTATTATTTATTTAAAATATTTTTATCCTGCTTTTTTCCTTAAAAAGAGCCCAAGGCAGTTTCCCTTCCCAAAATGGGATTTCCCCATAGATAGATGTTAGCTATTTCACTTGCCAAGTTGTGCGTGTTTGCCTTCTGATGAACAATCACTAATCCATGCACACTCGATATAAGATGTGTAATTGAGAAAAATAACTACAGTACAATATAACAAAATCACTATGACAGATTCATTTGACCACTGGAGGGAGCACTTCCTCTCAAAACATGTACTATGTGACCTGAAGTCAGTGAGATGTGTAAGACTTTCCAGTAGTGTTTAAAATTGCTCAGTTTTCCTTGTTTTTTTTTTTCTTTTGACAGTATGAGAATCAAGCACTTATGTTTGGAAAGTGGGGAACTTCAGGACTTGTTGGCCGTCACAAGTTTTCTGATGTCACAGGAAAAATCAAACTAAAGAGAGAATACTTTTTGCCTCCCAAAGGATGGGAATGGGAAGGCGAGTGGTTTGTTGATCCTGAAAGAAGGTCAGTTGCTTTGTTTAATTTCTTCTGCCATGAGACAAATGAAGTGGGTGGGAGGGAGCCTGTGTAATTTCCCTGCAAGGATCTTTTAACACTTACTAGAAAGAGGAAAAGGTGCTAAAATACCAAGTTATCTTCCAGAGCAATTCTATTTTACTCTCCCAAGAGTTTCATGGAATGTCCACACAGATCATTTTTATATAACATAATATTGATGTCTGCAGGCACATAAGCTCTTCTGTCCTGTGTCCCAAAGTACACTGGTGTTCATGTTCCGGATTAAGAAAAACAAAACAAAAATACAGTCTTAAAGTCTAATTGGTCTGGACAGAAGTTTCACACACTCTTCCTTCCTGGCCATTCCCCACTCCCAGTTCCTAGCTGTTTCCTACCCCCATCCCTTGCCAATACTGGAAATCATGTATGGTCTTCATATAAAATATGGGCTTTTTCTAATACATGCACTTGGTTCCTTGTCACGCTGGAAACATATGAGGATTGTAAAGAGATTTATAAGAAAGATCTGCTCAGAGCAATTAAAACAAGAACAAACTTTTCTGAGTAAAATTCTAACTAGCATTTCAAATAAATCCATGCTTCAATAATATTTTCTTTATTCTGCCCCTTCCTGTATGGAAATATGCATGATGTGCATTTTGCTTTTATGTCATCATTAACCTAGGGATTTGAACATGGTTCTCTGTAAATTCAGCAATTTGGCAATTGCACAATCCTGGCTATGGATCACAGATCCAAGAAAATAAGATGACAATCAGCCTAGTGCAGCTTTGGACAGATTGTATTGTGGAAAGCAACATAAATAGGTACCCAGGCATGGCCCTAAAGCAGGGGTGGGCAAACCGCAGCCTTAAAGCCAAAAATAGCCTCCCTGGAGGCCCAAATGCAGCTACAACAAGCCTCAAAGTTCCCAAGGTCTGGATTTTTATTTTTAAAAATGCCTGGAGAAAATGCTCTGTGCCCTGTAGGCAGGAGGCAATTTTGCCATGTTTGCACTTCCAGCTCCCCAAAACCTGGGATTTATGTAGGTTTTTTTTTTCAAAAAGTGGCCACTAGAGGGCATGGTGGCGTGACAGGGACGTGGTGGCGCGAGAGGGACGTGGTGGAGGACAGGGACGTGGTGGTGCTGTGGGCTAACCCGCAGAAGCCTGTGCTTCAGGGTCAGAAGACCAGCAGTCGTAAGATCGAATCCACGCGACGGAGTGAGCGCCCGTCGCTTGTCCCAGCTCCCGCCACCCTAGCGGTTCGAAAGCATGCAAATGCAAGTAGATAAATAGGGACCACCTCGGTGGGCAGATAACAGCATTCTGTGTCTAAGTCGCACTGGCCATGTGACCACGGAAGATTGTCTTCGGACAAACGCTGGCTCTATGGCTTGGAAACGGGGATGAGCACTGCCCCCTAGAGTCAAACACGACTGGACAAAAATTGTCAAGGGGAACCTTTACCTTTACTAGAGGGCATGAGAGGGCTTCTTCAGGCTAAAAAAAAAGCCTTTTAAAAAGAAAAAAACATTGGGAAGTGGCCAAGGCATGAGATAGGTGTGGCCTCCAAGGTCCAGGGATGAGTGGGTGTCATCCTCAGATCTCCAGAGGTTGCTGATCCCTGTTGTGCAAGGATGAGTTGATGAGTAGAGGCCAAAATGAAGTAGCAGCTTTTCCCAAGAGTCTGGCTTAGCAATCAGCAAGGCATAGTTAAGAAAAAGGCATCCTCTACCTGGTATGCCCCAGATATTTTGAACTGCAACTTTCGTAAGTCCTGCCCAGCATGGATAAGTACTATGGATGCTCGGGTTTGAAGTCCAAAACATCTGGAGCACACCAGGTGGGAAAGGATGATGAAGACCAGCTGTTGACAAAAGAAGGCTCAGCCTGACTTGGACCCTTTCACTGATAACTTTACTGGACAAAGACTGAGATGCCGGCAGCGATACCATAAGGGGCTGTACATTTCCCTAACCATTGGCAATTGAAGCCAACATGGAAGATAGGAGGAACTTATTCTCTGCCATTCAGAGATAAATATCATTGCTGAACAAACACCTATGATGCTATACTAGGTCTGCTTGCAAGTATCTCCTATAGCTTTCTTAATGGAGGATAAACTGGATGTGGGCAGTTTTTGCTGTGGGAGTAAGTAGCTGTAATCTTGCATTCAGGATGCATAATACCTGCTGGTTTCAGCAGAGGGCAGCGAGAATTAAGGAGCTTAATTTGAGTGCCAGTTTCCAGCTGATGTTTTTACCTATGAGGTTTAAGGAAACTCTTGTGTTTAATGACATTTAGAGTGCAAATCTAAAATCTGTGTTGGCTAGAATGCTCATTTACATACATAATGTCTCTCAAATTAAGTATTAAGGGGGGCATGGATGCCATGGCATGGATGCCATGCTGAGTTTTTTTTCCCCTGGGCTTTCCTTTTGTCTCTTAATATCTGGCCTTAATATGGTAAATAGAAAAGCCAATTAGATTAGCATAAGCCAGGGAGTTAGGAAAGTTTTAAGGATCAGATCATACTTTTGCAGTATTAAAGAGCAGGCCGGGTAGGTGGGGCTCGTCAGCCATGGAAGGCAGCCCATCTAGGAGAAGGAAAACTCCGATTTCAAACCTCCACTGCCTTGTGGCTATATCCACTCATGGAAGAGGCTTCAGGAGTTAACCTCGAGGCAAAATCCGGAGCTGGAGTCCCGAAGGCAGCTCGTGTCGTTCTGCCAACTCCTGCGTCGTTGCTGGAGCCAGTCGTATTGGCTCTGGCCTTTCCATTGGACCATTTCAGCAATGTGGAGAGGGGGGATCTGCTGCTTGGGTAACAGCCTATCCTCCATATTACCTTACCCGGGCTTCATGCTCTGGAGAGGACACTCCTCGATTCAGAGCATGTTACCATAATCTCTCGAGACTGAAGGATGCCTATGAATATTGTACTTAGCAAATTATCTCCAAAATGTAATTTGGCCAATAGATGGCAGTCTAGAACAGTAAAAAGCTCTTGACACTCCAATTAAATCTGCTGATTCAGTCTTTTTGATGTGACATGTGTTCTATTGATGTGGTGTTTTCAATAGCACTTTGCATACTCTTTGATAATCTGAGTTAAGGGGAGAGGAGGAAGATGAGGAAGATGGAAAGGGGACACCGGGGTTGTTAAAGCCTTTTCTGCCCTGGACTCTTCTGCCCACATTCCTTCTATTATTGCTTTCTCACAATAGCTGAGAAACAGTCTGTTTGTGAAAGGACAGTGTTGCTTTTTCCTTTCTGGCAACCATTCTCCTGTTCCATATTTTAACATTCCCCTGTCCTGTATTTTCACATTGTATAACCTTAATATTAAAGGAATGCTGTTTCACCTAGTAAGAGGATCCTAGTGTGGCATATGAGCAAGAAACACAAAACAAAGCAAAAACAAAAGACGGGGGGAGACACCGCGGCACCTTAAAAACTAATTGCCTTTTAAAAAATCTTTTGTTTTTGCTTTGTGTTTTCTTGCTAATTTGCTTGCACGGACTAACACAGCTGCAACTTTTAAAACTAGCATGGCATATATTGAAGATTACGCCTTGGATTTGGGTAGTTTTCAAACTCTGATCTGAATAGGTCTGTTTGTATGAGGTCCAGATGGAAGCACAATGGTCAGATGTGAAGCACATTTGCAAACTGATTTGTGTCCTTAGCACAAATTGGATGACACAAATCATTTCCGACTGTTTTCTTTCTTCCTTTGAGAACTTTATTTTTAAAAAGATTCCTTGTTCACAAATCCCAGAAGCTAGTTGCCTGAAATGTGATAGGTTTAGTTACCATATTCCATGTGGAAGGGTGCTTTTGGGTTTCTAGTGCATGTCAATAGGAGAGCCAAGGATAAGACTTCAGTTCAGGTGCACAAATTAAATGCACAAATATCCCGGGATGGACTTGGGATACATCCCAAAGCCCTGAACTGGCCTCCCTGCACAGCCCTACTGAAGATGTAAGCTCTTAGGAAAATGTATTCAATGAACATATTTCAGCACCTAACAACCGTCTGAAGGTTTCCTTCTGTTTTCATAGTTTATTGACAGAAGCAGATGCTGGTCATACGGAATTTACTGATGAAGTGTATCAAAATGAGACCCGCTATCCTGGAGGAGAATGGAAGGCGGCTGAAGAGAGTTATACAGATGTGGTGAGATGCTTTTTTATGACTCTGTTGTCTTAATTTCTGTAGCTTTTCTCCAGAGATTGGAAAAGTTATTTTTGGACTGTATATCCCATAATCCTGCAGCTAGCATAGTCATGCTAACAGGGGCTTACGGGAGTTGTAGCCCAAAAGTACATTTTCTAACGGTTACTTTTCTTTCCATGACAGCTGTAGTAGATTGGTGCGGCTGTCAATACATTAAGTCAGTGGTTTGGATCCTCTAATGCGGTGGTTCCCAACCTTGGGCCTCCAGATGTTCTTAGATTACAAACCCCAGAAATCCTGGCCAGCAGAGGTGGTGGTGAAGGCTTCTGGGAGTTGCAGTCCCAGAACATCTGGAGGCCCCA